GAGTGGCCTGTTGTGAGGGTGCCGTCCCTCGAAGGCATCAGAGACTAATGAGGGAGTAGCAGCTCAAGGAGGGAACACACCGAAAGATTACATTCACCATCGAGACGCAACGATCTGCAATTGCGTGCGCGATTGCGGCATTCTGTAAACAAGAGGGATGGTAACGTCTCGTAAATTCCTTCGTGTCGCCCCCTTCCCAAGTATAAACAGAGCAGATTGTAGGGGGCAAGCGATGTTTGCGAGCGCCTCTATCAAGGCCGCAGCGACACACGAGGGGGTGGGTGGGTGGCCGCCTTTGTCTCCGCGGTGGCGATGTTGAACACGCCGTACCAGGAACTCATTTGAGGCCGAGTCGTCCTAGGAGAGGCCTAGGACCGGTTCAGATAATCATCTCTGCTGGTGGTCGTGAAGAGGGAATCGAACTGTGTTAGCTGGGTTCGTAGCGCGTTAACCGCTGCACTATCGATCCTCACTATCGCTTCATCTCACACCCCCCATCAGCACCGTCAACCCTTCAGTCCGTCATTCTCCTCACCACCACCACCACCACCACGGGCCCATCACTTAGCCTCATTACCAACACAAATACGAGCACGATACCACCAACACCACCACCACTAACCCTACCACTGTCACCACCACCACCACCACTAACCCTACCACTGCCCCCACCACCACGGGCCCATCACTTAGCCTCATTACCAACACAAATACAAGCACGATACCACCAACACCACCACCACTAACCCTACCACTGCCCCCACCACCACTAACCCTACCACTGCCCCCACCACCACCACCACCACGGGCCCATCACTTAGCCTCATTACCAACACAAATACGAGCACGATACCAACACCACCACCACTAACCCTACCACTGTCACCACCACCACCACCACTAACCCTACCACTGTCACCACCACCACCACCACTAACCCTACCACTGCCCCCACCACTAACCCTACCACTGTCACCACCACCACCACCACTAACCCTACCACTGCCCCCACCACTAACCCTACCACTGCCACCACCACCACTAACCCTACCACTGCCCCCACCACCACCACCACGGGCCCATCACTTAGCCTCATTACCAACACAAATACGAGCACGATACCACCAACACCACCACCACTAACCCTACCACTGTCACCACCACCACCACCACTAACCCTACCACTGCCCCCACCACCACGGGCCCATCACTTAGCCTCATTACCAACACAAATACAAGCACGATACCACCAACACCACCACCACTAACCCTACCACTGCCCCCACCACCACCACTAACCCTACCACTGCCCCCACCACCACCACTAACCCTACCACTGCCCCCACCACCACCACCACTAACCCTACCACTGTCACCACCACCACGACCACCACGAGTGCGGCCTAAGTTAGCCGTGTGGACTTCCCAGCCCCCCCACCCACACCACCACTCCCGAGGCCCCTCAGCGTTGTGCAGCCCCCCGCGAGCCCGCGAGGAAGGAAGGGAGCGAGCGAGGGAGGGAAGGAAGAAGGAGCCTGAGGGCTTGCGTGCCCGGCTCGGCCCCACACACGAGTGCGGGCGGTGAGGCGAGCAGGCCCCGGGGCGCGCCTCTCGCCCTCCCCACCACCACCCCTTCTCCCTGACGCTTGAAAGCGGCGGTGGTGGTGGTTTAGTCGGCGGCGTTTACTCGCCCGCCATGTGTTGTAGAGTCGCTTGACGCGACGGTAGTAGGCCTCCTTGTCCAGCTGCACGGCCATGGCGTAGAGGCACCACCACCACCCCCGTGTGTGTGTGCGTGCAACGACGAAATGGCGCCACTTTTAATGGCGGACGTGATGTCACTACGGCGCGCGCCAAAATCCAAGTGCAACTCGGAAGGTGGTTGGCGGGAGAATTCGCGCTGACGGTGGGGGGGGGCGGGGTGACGTCACCACGCCGGGGGGGGCGGGGTGACGTCATCACGCCAAGGACGGGGTGACGTCATCACGCCGGGGGGCGGGGACACGTCATCACGCCGGGAACGGAGGGGCGTCATCACGCCGGGGGGCAGGGTGACGTCACCACGCCGGGGGGCGGGGTGACGTCACCACGCCGGGAACGGAGTGACGTCACCACGCCGGGAACGGAGTGACGTCACCACGCCGGGTGCGAGGTGACGTCACCGCCGGGGGCGAGGTGACGTCACCGCGCCGGGGGGCGGGGCGATGATGAAGGCTCGCGAGCGGTGTGATGACGTCACGCAAAAGTGGAACACGGCGAGAAGTGCGCGCGCGCTTCCGATGCGATGACGTCACATACTTTTTTGTAAGGCTCTCCCGACCGGAGCGGCGACGTCACGCAAAAAGGACTGGTAAGGAGCCCGCTTCCCGCGCTATGACGTCACTGGCGGTGATTTAAATACTCGCGATCGGCGCGATGACGTCACGAGAACGGATTGGTGTTGGCGACCGGCGCGATGACGTCACGACATGACTGGGGGAAATGTTACCTGCGTGAAGGCGTCACGAGCGAGCAGGCAAACTGTCGAGATGACATCATCCAATTGGATTGGCGGGAACGCGAGCTGGCAGGAAATCAACACCGACAGCGGATTGGAGGGTTCGCGCCCAACGCTGTGACGTCACACTGCAAACCTGTCGACCGGCGGGATGACGTCACTAGAGGGCTACAAAGCCGTAGTTACCTTGGTTACTCATGACGTGGGCCAATCTGGTTACCATGGTTACTCATAACGTGAGCCAACCTGGTTACCTTGGTTACTCAACGTGAGCCAACCTGGTTACCATGGTTACTCATAACGTGAGCCAACCTGGTCACCATGGTTACTCATAACGTGAGCCAACCTGGTCACCATGGTTACTCAACGTGAGCCAACCTGGTTACCATGGTTACTCAACGTTGAGCCAACCTGGTTACCATGGTTACTCATGCCCAGGGTTCAAACGCTTTGCTGTGGTCAGGCAGGGGTCGTCGGGCACAGCACCGAGCAACTTTCAGTGCGAAGTAGATGAGAACTCAAGACAACAGGATACGGAGTCGCATTTGCAAGAATGATCTGGGACATCAATCTGCCAGATTTGAAGCTTTCGTGACTGCAATGATTCATATTCTTAGGTTTTTTCCGTGACTTTACCGAAAAAACCTAAGAATATGAATCAATCTGCCAGTATGAGTGGGCGATGATTGCTGCTTTGTCCATCATCCCAATTGAGCAATTTGTGCGGTGTGATTTTCGAACTTTGAAAAATGTGGACCCAGATGCCGACAAATTAATTGCCCACTCGAGGATGACGCCACGGGTGGGTTGTATAATTATCATGGCTATAACCTCCTGCAGTTGTGGCCACTGGATTTGAATCGTGAAATTCAAATAACTTTTTATTTCACTTGGTTCTTTCGGTAAAGTCACGTAGAATGTAAATAATAAAATTAAAATAAACATAATAAAATAATTCTCACGACATTCGTTTTCAGAAACGGGTTGGCCACAAACTGGCAGGTCAACGAAGTTGCGTATCACGTGGACATCTATAGCAGCCTAATAGGTTCTCTCTCAAAGCACGTTTCCTAAATGTGGAGGGGGAAAAAATAAACCCGTAAAAACAAAGTTTTTCACTCTAAATCCTTTATATGCGTGGCGGCGAGAGTCCTCTCGTCCTCTGGCTTGAGATGGCTGCCACCTATGGGTCAGATGATTGTCTGCCAGCATTAAGCAATTGGAAATTCAATATTTTAAAAAATTTCCCTAAACAGTGTAAAATTTTTGGAAAAAAATTACGAAAATTAATTGTCGCGCACAACGAGTCTGTGTGGAAAACGTCAGCTCGATTGGATCACGGGAAGTGTGTTAAAAAAACGACCGAAAGATTTGCACGGTCGTAAGCAAGCAAGCACGCAAGCAAGCAAACTTAATATAAAGGATTTAAAAACCAGAGCACCCAGTGAAAAATCCGTGCGACCACGAAAAGTCATGCAAACTCCCAATATACAGCAGGAGTCAGGGTCAAACCCACAACTTACCAGGCGAGGTAGTGAATTTGTGTGGATGTGCGCTTACTCTCCCTTCATCTCTGCCCCACGATCGTTTCCACCAGACTTGGCCTTGGCATGCGAACGGTCCCAAGCCTCACACTTGCAGGCCCACCGGTTTCAACTGCTGTTGGTTAGTGGGAGTCTATGGGGGGCACGTGGAAGTACAGCTTATTCGAGATCGTTTTCCCACCCAATCTCCACGAATTTAAAACTTGCCTGGGTGTCAATTCAAAATCTCACACAAAATATATTTTAAAAATGTTCCAGTTTTTTTCCAAGCTACCCCTTGGAACAACTGTGATCCCCATCCTCCTGCTCAACATTCTCTTGAATTTCGATGTAAAGCTTCTTTCGTGACTGCAGGGATTCATCTTCTTGGTTCTTTTGGTAAAGTCACGTAGAATGGAAATAATAAAATAATAAAAATAAAACATTAAATAATTCTCACGACGTTTCGGCCACACCGCAAGCAGCCGTCCTCAGGTGAAGACCAGACAGAGTCTCCTTGACAGACCTGTTCTTCACCTGAGGACGGCTGCTTGCGTTGTGGCCGAAACGTCGTGAGAATTATTTTATGTTTTATTTTTATTATTTTATTATTTCCATTCTACGTGACTTTACCAATAAAACCCAAGAATATTCTCTTGAATCTCAAGAGCCATTTGGTTGGAATGTTCAAAACCCGTGCAGCTGAACCTCGCTGCCTCGCTGAGGAATCGTGACCTGTGACCCGTGATGGACCCCATTGGGAGACGAGGTGGCGTGTGGTCTTTCGCAGCGGCAGCGTGATCATCGCGAGCAGTACAGCTACAATGCATGGCAGGAATCTCACCGTCAACCGTGAATGGTCGGGCCACAGGGTAGCGACCGTCGAACTGTACGTCAATAAATTTGGTGCAAAACCGCAACAGCTAAACCGGCAAAATGAGTTTGCTGTACCTATATAAGTTATTGACCCACAGCACTGGTTACTGTGTCAAATTGATTGGTTTATTATTTTTTTTTAAAGAAAAGACAAAAAACGCTATACAAACCAAATACACAAAATCAAAGGGAGTTGATGCAAACACTAAGTCAAAGCGGAACAGTAGCACTGGTCTAGATGTCTGGCAGTTACGGGTTCGCCAGGCGAATGGTGACACACGCACGCTTGCACAGCGAGGCCCGGGCACTGCTCACCGCGAGCCCGGATCACGCGTGCCCCGCCAAGACGCAGCGACCGCACGGGAATATCGCTCGCCATGGCGCCTGGGTGCGCACCTACAAAACATCCACACGCACAACTAAGGGCTTAAACAAACAAAAAAACAACAAGGCTTTAATGGCCCTAATCGGTACAAAAAAAAACCCCACACGTGTTCAAAAAGTGTTGCCTATAACTGGAACTTGACTTCAGGCGGGAGTGACAGCACTGAACACTGCTTGCAAAAACTCAACTACAATATATAAAATAATGGAACTTACAACACACACCTCTTTAGCACGGCACTTCCTTCCCGCCGCTCCCCGCTGCCACACGGCTCTCCGATTGCCCTCGCGCCCAGCACCGAGTACGACGGGACCCGACCGAGCACTGCAAACCGCACCCCGATCACCGAAGCCTCGTGCTGTTCGAATCACTTTGCCGCAAACACCGCGGCGTGCGTGCCGACGGGAGTTGCACGCAACCAGAGCCGCCGCGGCTCAGCGCAGAGTCTGCTGTAGTTCAAAAGTTTATAGAACAATACATTATCAAAAGCCTCGTTTCTATAGCACGAACGCAGGACGAAAGATCATGGGCCTGCGCCGACTCTAAGCTATGCCCGCCGAAGGGTTGGGGTCGGGTTCGTGGGAGGGGGCTAAGTGAGACCACCCTTCAAGGCTGTCGTTTGGCCCGAAGCTCTGCGTTGTGTAACGAGAGGGACGAAGGGGCTCAAGCAGTCTCCATGCGGCACGGGCTTGTGGATTAAACCAGCATAAGTGCCCTGCAGGGAATGCACCATTAACAGCCTCCCGCTATGGACATGCTGGAGTTGAGTCTCTTCTCTCTTGTCACTCATCCCCAAACAAACACGGAAGATCAGTGGCCTGGGCTCAGGGTGAACACGATGACAGCCTTGGCGTCCTGGCAACAAGGACGCCTCTGCCCACAGCGCACATGACCAACTCTCTTCACAACGCCCCTCTACAATGTGAAACCTGACAGACAAGCTGCTGTTGCTCTCCACGTGCATCCACCGTCATGGAGGAGTCTCGGCTGCTGGAGACAAATGAACATTTCACACTGCGCTACCGCTTGTGCTCACGCACGGGCGTCGCATCTCTTACTGCTGGGTCAACCGTGACTTCTTCCGAGGCCTAAGAACGCAGCAATCGCGACTCTCACGACAAGAAATTCCATTCACTGGAGACCAAGCCTCCCACAAAGAGCCCCACCCCCTTGAGAAAGATCAATCTGTACAAGCGGAAATAAAAGTCCATGAAAAATTAAAACCCTCGTCAACAGAACACGAACATAGCATTGGCAAGGCATCAGTCAACACCGCTTAAAAGCTATGGTTATACTCTGGCCTATGGGAAACCGAGTCGGTCTGACTGTACAGTCGCGCGCTACATTACAGGAACAATTCATACAAACAATAGCGGAGGATACTGTAAAACCACTCTCTCAGCAATGCCCGCGGCTTGCTAATGCGTCCACACGTTCAGGCACTACAAAAGTTATTGCAAATTTAAGTATTTAATGATAGATTTTTGGAAAACATACTAAATGCATACCAATGGAACTGCCGCACAAAGCATGACACAGCGTTGTACGTGCTTGTAGAAGGTTTCCGTACAAATTAATATGACGATGATGATGGATCACAGACGCGAGCGCTTTTCACAGTTGGAAGAAATGATTCGCTCGCACTCGCACGGAAGATGGGCCGACGAGAGGCAAGCCCGCCGCTCTGCACACACTCACACCAAAACAGCCTGAACGTCAGCGAGAGAGCGAGCAGGCGGACAGACGGCTGGTGGTTTTACAGTATCGCCTGACACCCCCCCCCCCTATTAAGATGAGAAAAATAGCATAAATCTCTTCTATGCCGCCCACCCGCCCCCATGGGTGCCGGACCTATGGCCTGCGCCGCTCCCTGTCATCCCCCTCTCGGCTGCGAGCGTTGCTGCGCTCCTGGCTTTGCTCCCGCTCCCCGCTGCGGCCCTTGCTGCGTTCCCTGCTGCGTTCCCTGCTGCGATCTTTGCTGCGATCTTTGCTGTCATCTTTGCTGCCATCTTTGCTGTCATCTTTGCTGTGCTCGCGACCCTTGCTATTCTCCCTGCTGCGCTCACGGCCCTTGCTGTGCTCTTTGCTGGGCTCGCGATCCTTGCTCCGCTCCCTGCTGCTGCGCTCGCGAGCCTTTCCGCGCTCCTCCTGGCTGCGTTTCCGTTCGCGACTCCGCTCCCTGCTGCCGCCACCGCCGCCACCGCCGCCGCCGCCACCTCCACCACCGCCGCCACCGCGCTGCTCCCTGTCCCGGCTACGGTCACGGTCGCGGTCCCGCCGACGCTGCGTCTCGCGCTCCCGCTCCTCCTGTCGCTCCTTGAGACGCTGGCGCTCCCGTTCGGCGACGCGCTCCTCTGCCACGCGCTGGTCCTTCTGCTCCTGCTCCTTGCGCCGCCGTTCGCGCTCCTTCGCCCGCTCCGCTCGCTCCGCCACCTTCAGCGCTATCTGCAAGTCAATGAACACGCACACGATGCCGATGCTGCCGACACGGCCCTCGCTCTGGACCACATCGTCCATTACGATCGCTGCGACCTCTGTTGACGCGAGATCAACCTCGTCGCAAGTGCTCGCACACATTCAACAGCGTCGGTAGCAGCAGCAGCAGCATCAACGCGTGTTCACGTGCACAAATCAGCAGTGCAAGAGCCTTGCCCAATTGCCTTGCCCAATTGCCCCGGTGAACCCCCATCTCCCCTCTGAAGCATGAAGACAGGAGCGCTCGATAAACACCAAATGCACACGAGGTCCCGACAACTGGTGAGGGACACGGTGACGCACCTGCTCCTCAGTCAGAGGCAGCCAGTAGATGCAGGGAGTGGCCTTGGTCTTCATGAAGAGGTCATCCAGCAACTTGGCAGGGGGCTCCTCCTGGGGCTTTTCTGCTTAGAAAGGCGAACACACAAGCAGGCACGAGATGCGAGCTTCAAGGAGGCACGAGCAGATAAGAGACGCAAGAAACAAGCACGGATTGACGCACACAGACGAGAGCACAAGCGTTGACCGATAATAATTTCAACTTGTAATGAGCAGCAGAGAGAGAGAGGGAACGACTCGGAAGGCAGGAGGAATCATCGACAAGCAGGAAAGCAGTCAGGCGGTGAACCGACGCCAACAATTGCCCAGGCTCTGCTGTCCTTTATATATTAAGGTGTTATTGATCAATTAATGGGAAGAAACCTAAGCGTCTGGAGAAAACCCACGCAAGCGAGGTGGGGGGGGGTAAAGACTCTACACCCCAGAGGGAACAGCTTTGTCCAGATTTTTCTGTTACCGCATTCTCCTGGCGAGCCAGGGTATAGCAACCTCCTCGACGCCCACGGGAAGAGAGTTTCACAACATCTGTGCGACTTACCAACCCCTGGCGACTGCCTCCACAGTGCCGGATTTACAACCCACGTGCAGTATCATAACCACCGGCTGATCACAACCTAGTTGGGCGAGCGCCACCAGTCCATGCCGTGAGCGCAGTTGCAGCAAGCGCGCCAGCAACGAGCACGTAGGAAAATGAGCGCGCCGACAACGAGCACGCCGGCAACGATGGCGCCGGCAACTCGCGTGCCGGCGGGAGGTTAACCGCACCTTTCTTCTCGGCCTTCTTCTCCTCCTTGGAGCGCGCCCTCTCGCGGCGGCGGCGCTCCCGTGACGGCGTGCGCGACCGCGGCTTGGCGCCCTCCTCGGCAAACTCGCGCACCTTGCCGCGGTCCCACTCGCGCTCGGCGCGCGCCCGCTCGCGCCGCGCCATCTCTCGCTCGCGGTCCACGCGCAGATCCTGGACGATGCGCTCCGGCTCGCCGCCCTTCCTCTCGCGAGGCTCGCGGGATTCGCGCGGCTCGCGCCGGGCAGGCGCCGGCTCCGGCTTCTGGTCGACCGTGGAGGCTGATACCGGCATGTGAGGCGTCAGCCCCCGGTGGAAGTCCAGCTGCGCGGGGGGGAAAGGGCACGGGTGTTCGCGACTGAGTACAGTTTGATACTGCACCCGTAGTATTAACAGGGGCGGCCTGCCGGATTCGAACCGTGAACAAGGCGCGACTGCTGGCCCACGTCCAAGAGCCCCCAATGAAAATTCGTATTTACGACAACAATCTACCCACTGTGGTGTAAGGTTAATGAGACAGGGAAGCAGCTGCAATATCCATCTGCAATGACAACAATGTGCAAATGCCCAACTGGGCCTAATGGCCGATGTGCAGTGTAAAGACTCTTTGGGCTCATTAAGAGACGATATATGAAGGAGGCACTGGTCCTGAAGCTGCGCACAGCTGATCGGACACTGGTCTAAAGAACGCATCTTCTGGCTCGCACCGATCAAAGCAATCCAAACCCAGTCCCTTACCTCATCCTGATCAGCGAAGTCGACCGAGAGGAACTTAGGGTTGGAGGTCGGCCACTTAACGCCGTGCAGCACCGCGCGTGTCGCCTCTGCCTCCTCCACTGACGAGTACTGTACAGCGACATGCCACATCATCATCACACGTCATGCCATCACTCGCATCATTACGCGATAGTGTCATCACACACCACATCTACTGCACCTCCGATTAGCGTGGATGGCAATGTCGTTCAGCATACATACATCATTACACCATCATCATGTAACACACAACCACATGGCACCATAATCATCAAACAACGTACAGCAATACTACACAACATCACAATCACTTCAAACACAATACCATGAGCACACCATCGACAACACACACAGCAACACAACAGACCACACCATCCTGCCACCACAAGAGATTGGACCACAAATTCCACCCCACTCCAATCAATGAACACCACACCACACCACAGTGCTACCCTCACCCCAATCTTACAATAAAATAACACACCGCCACCCCTCACCAACCATCACACGCAATTCCACAACACATTGCCACCTTAACCCCAATGCTTCCACACTGTTACCTTACAAATCTCCCCACACCACAATGCCACCCGAACACAATCATGCCACACCACAGCACAAAACACCACCAAGACAAACTACAGCATAACACGGACACCACACTCTCTGCGGCCACGCGGCCTGTAGGACCACCCCAGCAGATGGCAGAACTCCTCCGCTCCCCCCACCCCAAGAGCGACGGACATGGGAGGCGGAGAAAGCGGAAAGGAGATGGAGGAGGGGCGGCCAGGCTTACGGTGGCGTAGCAGTGCGACTTTATCTTGTCGATCCAGAAGACGTCGTCGCGGATGGTCCCGGTGCGGTTCAGCAGCTCCTTCAGCTGGACGAGCGTGAACGGCCGCACCTGGCAGCGGAAACCGCGCACGACACGGCGGTTAAAATCGAGGGGGGCTTTGTCCTTTTCCACGATTTTATCCCAATGGTGCCATCGGTGTCACGAGACCAAGAATCCATTCCGAACTCTTGCAGAGCGGTTGCAACGCTTCACGTCGAACGATCCGAAGATTACGACATCGCATTGCCACTTCCGAGAGCTCTTCAAGCAACAATTATTTTTTATTTACCCAAAAAAAAAAAAATTCAGGAGGGTCCTGCATTCGGGTTATTATTTTAAGATGTTTGCAACCCAATCTTTGATTGTTTCCACATGTGGCAGGAAACCAGAGCACCCGGAGTAAACGCACACGTGCGAAAGGGCAACGCTCTATCGCCGTACGGATGGAAAGTGATGGCGATCAGTCCACTTGCTGGAGCTCATTCTCCTGGGCGAGGCAGGGTATAGCACCTCGACGCCAACAGTGAAGGGCGTTTCACCACATTTGTGCGATCCACCAACAATCACTGCATCCAGTGCTGGATTACAGACAATGTGCATAGCCACCACCATCTGGTTAAGTGACCTCTGGTCTACATAGCCTACTCTCTCACTAGCTCAACCATTGAAGAGTAATGTTCATCACGTAACACTCCAACACCACCACCGCCCCCCCGCGCCACTGTTGCCTCACAGCCTGTGACACCATCGCATGACACCGCCAACGGCTGCGCCGTTCGGATGCGTAGCTCGAGTCTAAACTAAACTATTTTTTATTCTACCAAATAAGACACACTGAGCTAAATTGCTCTTTTTCAGAAGCGACCTAGCCACAAATTATAGCTCAACAAAGTGGCTCATGTAAAAATTGAAAGCAGCCAAATACTCTAAACGTACGTTGATTCTAAAGTGGAGGGAAAAAACGAAGGACCCGGAGAAAAATCCACATTCCACATGACCACGGGGAGAACATGCAAACTCCGAATATACAGCTGGTGTCAGGGTTGGGATCGAACCCACGACCTCCTGTATACCAGGCGAGGTGGTTAACCTATCGCTACCGAGTCGCTGGGTTACAGCAAAATGCAGCTGCGTCGACCGATTAAGCAGACCGAGTAAGCGGTCACCAGCTACAAGGTCGCAGGGCGGAAGAGCAGGGCTCACCAGGTTGGAGATGTGCAGGATGCAGGTCGCTCTGTGCCGCGGCGGCGACGGCTTCTGGCCGAGGCGCACGGGGTCGTCGATCGTAACCGAGACGCCAGAGTTCTGCTGGCTGATGGAACGGCGCACCAGACTCTCGCTCGGCAACACTGCAAGCACACAGCACCGGCACGGTGACCCGGAGTTACAAAACAAGACTGGCGACCTGCCGCTGTCAATAGAGACTCATTCTTGGTTCTTTTGGTAAAGTCACGTAGAAGGGAAACAATAAAATAAGAAAAATATAAAACAATAAAATTCTCACGACGTTTCGACTGCAACAAAAGCAATCATCATCAGCAAGAACATTTTCTTGCTGTGGATTTCACACCTGATGATGATTGCTTGTGTTGCAGTCGAAACGTCGTGAGAATTTGATTGTTTTATATTTTTAATATTTTATTGTTTCCCTTCTACGTGACTTACCGAAAGAACCAAGAATATGAATCCCTGCAGTCACGAAAGCTTTAAATCAGAGACTCGTCGGCCTGGATTCCTTAGCCACGGCTCAGCTCAGGCTTGACTCAAGCGAGCTGGCTAAAAGAAACAATTAAGTTTCGATTTAAAGCTTTCGTGACTGCAGGGATTCATCTTCTTGGTTCTGTCGGTAAAGTCACGTAGAATGGAAATAATAAAATAATAATAAAACATAATAAAATAATTCTCACGACGTTTCGGCCACAACGCAAGCAGCGGTCCTCAGACCTGGTCTTCACCTGAGGAAGGCTGCTTGCGTTGTGGCCGAAACGTCGTGAGAATTATTTTATTATGTTTTATTTTTATTATTTTATTATTTCCATTTTACGTGACTTTACCGAAAGAACCAAGAAGATAAAAACAATTAAGTGTTGAGCCTGAGCCAAGGCATGGCTGAGCCGCTCACTCGTGTGTCTTTGACAACCGAGCGGCTCAAACCTGAGCTGGGCCGTGTTAAGAGACCAAACAAGAGCCGAGCCGTCACTCAGAACACGGCCCCCCTTAGTCACAACGAGCCCCTCCTGCAGGGTTTCGAATATTAAATTTTTCACAATTTATTTGCGCTAGTTTACCCGGGAATTCCTTGTGATAGCTTCACGACATTAATTAACTTAGGAGCAGCGATGCCACCGTACTCCCCGTGTGTGTGCGCCGCCGTCCCCCTTACTGCCGCAGGGGCCGCACCTTTGGCCTTGGCATCCTCCTCGGCCGCCTTCACGGCCGCCGGCTCCGTATCCATGGAGACGGAGCCGTCGTCGTCCTCGTCCTTCCTCTCGTCCTCCTCGTCCTCCTCGTCATCCTCGTCCTCCTCGCCGCGGGGCTCCTCCCCGTTCTCTTGGCTCTCCGTCGACACCACCTGGCGGGCGCGGAGAGACGCGTCTCACGGCCGCTCTCCTCGCCCTCCCCCCCTCATCTCTCTCCTCTCCATCTCCTGCTCTCGGCTTTGCAGCATTCCCACGACAACTGATGATGGAGCTGGTCCGGACTGTGAGCAGAGCTCATGAACAGAGCTCCCAGGCTTTGCCCGGATTCACACGGTAGCCTTACCGGACCGAGCTAGCGGCAATCGGTCCACGTAGCCCGCTCTGTGCCTTGTGGCACCTCCGATTAGCAAGGAAGGCTACACGTAAGGTGCGAAAGAAGTTCAACATACGTACATAAAATACCCAGGCTGCCCTCAAAGCTGGCCCTGACATCATTGGCTCAACGCGGAACAGACGAGAGGTCAGCCGCATCACCCATGTTTTTGTTTAAAAGATTAGGATGGAAAAATCAGCTTGGCAATATTATGAACTAACGTGGGGGTGAGAAGGGAGGAGGGGAAGCAGGGGTGGGGGTGAGGGCATGGAGTGGCACAGCTCTTATTGCATTGGGGACGAGAACAGAGGAACGCACGACCGTCCTAGACCGAGCCGACGCGACCAGACTGCCAACGGCTGTAGAGACACAGCATCATGCACGGGCGGCACCTCCAATGCCCCACCGCGCGCGCCCGCCCAGCCATGCCGTTTCACACCAGCAAGGCCCCCCCCCTCGCGAGCGCACGCACGCACCTGCGTGACGGTGCGCATGATCTTCACGTCCTTGTCCCCTGCCCCCTGGGCGTCGTCGTCGTCCTGCCCCCCCGGCCGGGCCGTGGGCGCGCGCGGCCCCTCGGCAGCCCCTCCCTCGCCGTCGTCCTCGGCCCCCGACAGCGCCACGTCCTCGGCGTGCAGGTCCACGACCGGGGGCTCCGGCGCCGCCGCGGCCGCCGCCTTCATCTCGGGGATGAGGCTCTGCTCCGAGCAATTACGCGACACAGGCGGCACACGACGCACGCACGCCAGTGTTAGCCTCGAGACGCTCAGAGAAGTTCCTGATAGGAACCCTTCCAGGTGCTGGTAGGTGAGTGGTGCTGGTACACGAGTGGCGAGTGTTGCTGCTACGTGCGAGGTGAGTGGTGCTGCTACGTGAGAGTTGAGTGGTGGAGTGGTGGGCGCTGGTAGGCGAGTGCCGCGGTTGTGCACCTTGAGCGAGTCGGTGCTGATGCTGATGCTCGTCTTCTTGGGGGTGGTGGCCGTGCTGGAGCCCCAGCGCCGCTTGCGCGCCGGCCCTACGCCCTCCGCCTCGCCGTTACCGCCCGGCGCCTTCCCCGACGCTGGAACGGCAAAGACAAACGGGCGCCGGGACGACAGGAACAGAGCGACGGTGAGAGATGCTCCCGCTGAGACAGAGGCTCGCGGTGTTAGATCCCGTGACCTCAAGACGACCCCGACCCCAGCCCAGGATCAGTGGCGCTCACCTACAGAACGAGCGGCTAATCGGTGTGTTCATTTGTTTGTGTAGCGCCACCAATTTTAATGAATGAGGTGTCATCCGAACTGTCAAAGTTTTATTGTAGACCCATTCATTTTACTAACGGACCTTCCAGTGCTGCTTATCCACACTACTATTCGCAATAACATGGCGAGTTATGCAGTCTAGTTTTACAATCATACAATGGATAGGTGTGTGCTGTTGGGGGAGGAGTGTGTCAATGGGGCACCACGGTGGCTTGGAGATGTTCGATCTCGATCCTGACGCCTGTATATTTGGAGCTTGCATGTTCTCCCCGTGGTCGCGTGGATTATTCTCCGGGTCCTCGGGTTTTTCCCTCGACATTTAGAATCAACATATGGTCAAGAGTATTTGTCTGCTAGAAATTTCCAAGTGATAAACCACTATAGTGAGCGATCACTTGGAGCTTACCTGGTAAAATAAAAAAATGTTTATCGTTGTTAGTTTAATTTAATGACTCCCCCACTATGCTGTGAGTGGTGAAGGTCAGCGAGTTGATGACTGCCTAGTGGTGTCAGGTGAGTGGTGAATGTCCATCAAGGTTCACATTACCGCCACGTGACCCTGTTCCTAGGACGGTCTGCCCTCACTCGCTATTCCTTAAATGTTTAAGACGTCATGTGCGCGCGCTGTGCACACACGAATTTGACCTGCGACAACTTCTCCCTTTGTGGATTTAGCATCGACCCAAGTGGCAAATGATAACGGTTCCAATGAGTGTCACGAGCCCAGGGTCTGAGAAAAGCTGTGCCAAGTTAAGCCCTGCGAGATGCGAGCGTTTGCACCATCGAAGGACGCGCGTATAAGCACGCCAACGTGCACACGCCGGGACTGTGCACGGTGCTTAATCTCCTCTGGCTTAGGGGGGACGTGGTCAGCTTCGGGCAAGGTCGTGTTCGGGCAAGGCCGCGCGGACCAACGGCGCACGCCATTCGTTAGCATCGGATCTCGGCGCCGCGTGCCAGAACGCACGGTTGGTTGTGTGAGCGGCACTGGGCCCCTCCGCCACCACCAACCAAGACGGGCCAGGAGGGTTCCACCTCATCACGTGGAGGGGTCGCTCCAAACACACACACACACACGTCTCGTGCGTCTGCACGTGTCGGTAGAGGTTAGCGAGCACCTAAGGCCGGTGGCCAGCACCACGCTCGGCTTTCTTCGTTTCCCCAATGCTGCTGCTTACACACCGTACCAAGTAGCACTTTCCCAAATATTCTATGTAGGCAGCACAAGGGGACCTTTTGTCTCTGTGGTTAGTGATCGTACATTTGTTCATTCTGTGATCCTGCAATATCCCGATTTTAATTCCCAGTCAAGGGTAATATCGATCCCAAATGGTGTCAGAAACCTGTCTTAGGCCTCCCCTCCTTTCAGGTATGGTGCTGGCCACACCACTCTCTCATTTGATCAATTGACCTTAATCAGTGCTCACAAACAGCACTTGCCCAAAAATTCTATAGGTATAAAAAGGATATCCTGTGTTTGGGTGTGCGTGCGTATCCGTGTATTTTGCCCGCGCATGATGACATGCATGCAAGCTTTGAGCGCGTGTGGACGCGCGTATCTGTGTGTGCATGTGCGTAGGCACATATGCATGCGTGTGGGCGTTCAGTGCGTCGTGTACTTACACACGATGGCCATCTTTCGTTTGAATGTTCGCGCTGTGACGTTCTATACAGAATGGAGGGGGGGGGGGGGGGGGAGGGACGCGCGCGCACACACACACAGGATCACCTCCGCTCCCTGGCATCACAAGCATTGCTGCTCCACTCAACCTAGCATTTGCTCATCTACCTCTGGCAGACTGCTAGCCAACATTATATTAGACTCCACCGTAAAGCTATCTCGTGGTGTGACAGCATTGTAAAGTGATCCAGATATACTGCTCATTAATATAATGCAGCCCTGGTGCTCCGAAGTAATAAACCCATTTAAAATAAACGGCATATGCAGCGGCTGGACCTACCCTGCTCCTCCCAGTACCATGTGTTCCCTGTAAAGATCCTTTACTCAAATTAACAGGTGCAGTCTAAGGCTCCAGCTGATGACTAACAGCTCCAGCCTAGGGAGTCAGACCCACACACATCCCCGCTGCAAACGCTAATCCCGGGTTTAGTGTTGAGCGTGAGCGAGTAGCAGGCAGTCCAGGTACCCTTTCACACCTGGTCGGGCAGATAACCACCAATTGTGGGGGACCAGCTCATGCTAGGAATCTAGACAAAGAGCGTCCAATGAGAAGGGCCGTCAGTGGCGGGCGGCGCGACACTGGGGTGGATCGGACGACGGGACGTGATTTTGCAGCCTGGAGTTTTCGTGCCCTTTATTTTGTTCGTTTGCGAGTGGGGTCTGCCGTCGGGCTTTGTCTCGACCACAGCAGAAGTTGGGAGCCAGCGCACCGTCGATGAGTCTTCGGGAGCGCCCCCATTGCGCGGGGCTCTGTGCCGGAAGCGCTTGCGTCCTCGGACGTGTGTCCCAGTGCCCGCTTCTCTCTCCGCTTGCTGCCGCTCGCGGTGCAGAGCAAAGTCCTCTCTCTGCCTCGCCGTGTCCATCTCTCAAACGCCGTGTTGACCTCGCAAACACGACACCCATCACCGTTTCTCAAAACGTTGCGCCCCGTGTTGATCTCACAAACGCTGTGTTGATCTCCGTCTCACGAAAGTTTTGCCTGTGTTCACCTCTCAAACAATGTGCCCAAGTCCATCTCTCCATCTCTCACATGCTGCCACGACCACGGAAAGGCGTCTTGCCCGCACGTGCGTTCAGTCACAGCAACAGCAGCAAAGGGGCCCTGCCCCAGCTTTAAGATTCTCTCCCTCAAGTCCACGGCCACGGTGTCGGGGTTGGCACCATCTCTCCCTTCAAGTGTGAAACACAGCGGGGCTTTGCTCTTCGTGCAAAGTCAAACGTGCGGTCGATCGCCTCCACATTCTGCGGCCGGGTTCACGTCAGCGTCCATCACACAGCTCACTCGCACGATTGCAGCGTCTGTTTATCTTCGCGAGTCCGTCGGCAAGAGACGGCGGGCAACGCCAAAGCAGGGCGAGACGCGGTTCTTCGAGTCGGCGAGTGGTCATTACACGACCTGTCACCGGAGTCGTTTTGGTCATCGCTTGCGGCTGTTCGACAGTCGCCGTCGCTGGGGTTTCGTGAGCACTGGGACGAGACAGGGGTGGGGCGCTCCCACAACGGGTTCTGTGGTAGCCACGGTGACGGCAGAGCAGCGCGAGGGGCTGGCCTGGCCCTCCGCCGCGGGCCCCCCCACTCGCAACGACGCCGGCGGCGGCCAATCGGCGGGCGGGAACGAAGGCCCCCCACGGTTGTCTAGTGCACACAGAGGCACGTGCCTGTCCGAGCGCGAGCCGTGCCGCGTCGACCACGCCACTTACTTTGGGCTGATACAATGGCACAAGCATACACAGCACAGGGGCACTGTCAAAGATGCTTCACGGCGTCTGCCACCACACTGCAACTAGACTCCAAATATTGTGAATCAATGCGTCAGTGTGTGTGTGCGTGTGTGCGTGCGTACGTGCGCGTACGTGCCCGTGGGTGTGTGTGTGGCGGAACACGCTCAGCATCGGCGGGGGGTGGGGTGGGCGCAGAGAGACGCATTCCCGCATTTTACGCCGACACTGAGCGGGTTCCGCCAACTCATGAGGCCTCGTGTGAGAGTGAACAAACTTCACAGAACGATAACTTCAATACGAAACTTATCGGAGAATGTAAAAAATTGCACGACTGATTTGATTATAACTGCTCCAAAGCTTCCTTATCGTCGTCTTAAACGAGGGGGAGGGGGGTTGATGTTTGCCACCTATCAGCTGTTGCTAGGGTCAGCAACTTTAATGACGGCGAGGAAAGAGGGTCACCAGGACGAGATCCTCACTCATTCCTACACCCACCCACTTTGCCAAATTACACCGCCACCTCGCAACGACCGCAACGCAGACTGCACAGACAATTATGAGTGCAGCGGGCATGATGCTTGCATTGAAGACAATGGCAGTGATTGTACAATGGGAAAGGTTCAAGACCACATACCGTAATGGCAGTGGTTTTGGCCTACCTCATATGATGGGAGTCAATCTTTGACAGGAGTGGGAGTGATCAATTAATTAATTCATTGGGTGGTGGAGGCATGGTTAATGTAAATAGGGGATGGTTACGTCCAAATAACTGCAGTAAAAGTAGCTCTGGCTCCATTCATTGAAATGCTAGTGTAAACGGTCTATTCAGAGTAAGAGGGTGTGATTCCGGCTCTTTTGATTGTAATAAGGGTGGTAGTGGCCCACTCATTGAATATGAAGGGAGTGGTATTTCACCACTGTGACTCCATCAAATCGAGGGCACCTCTACCCACCAGCGACAGTGGATTTTGCCCGTGTGCTCCTTCCATCAACGCTGTCAAGCGCGTGGTTTTCCCAGCAGCACCGGCACGAGGAAGAAGCTACGGCGGCGCCGGCTGCCGCCCTTCTCCGCTGCTACCCTACACAGCCCCGTGGAGTGACCGGCACAAAAACCACGCGCCGGCAGCCCAACGTTCCCTCGAGCGGAGTGCCGGTATTCCGGCGTGCGCCGGTCGGTGCGTGCGGGCTGTGCGGTTAGGCCGTGCCGCACCAGCCGTGGTACCTCTCTCTTCCCCTCCTCCTCCATCGCCTCGGAGCCAGCGTCCGCTCTGTCGCCGGTGGCGGCGGCGGCGTCGTCCGTGCCCTGGTGCTGCTGCTCGTCCTCACCTCCCACACCGCCCCCCACGGGGGGGGTGGCAGGGGGCTCCGACTCGGTACGGCCACCCCCCTCCTCTTCCTCCTCCTCTTTCTTCTGCTGCTGCTGCTTCATTTGCTGCTGCGGCGGCTGTGGCGACGTTTGCTTCAGCTGCTTGTCTCCCTGCTGCTGCTGCTGCACCACCATGCCAGCCTGGACGCTCACCTTCGCCTCACTGTGATGAGACAGGTGGGGGGAGGGGGGTGAAACCACGTAAAGGTCAGCCGTGCCGTCAAAGCTCCTCTCACTACGCCGGGCTCCGAGCCGTTGCTAATGGGCCAACCGAAGGAATTAGCACGAGTCGCAGGAAGCAGAACCCACCAGCACTTCCATCGTCGCTACAACAACAACAGCGATACCAGGGTCCACCAGCCGACACTCAATTCACCAGCTCAGGAAGATTACACCCAGTCACCACACATTAACGCAGCAATGAGACGCGATCCAATTTGTGCTCGCAAGCGAAGCCTTTCGGTTACCACGTCAGGGACGAGTAGCCGATAATGACGGGGACTGAAATTAAACCCAGCAGCTGATTTGAGATTCCTCACTGCACGACATTTACAATTGGAAAGAACAGAGCACTCGGTCGACAACTGTGAGTGACGATACCTACACGCCACCTCAACGTGACCTTTAAACCAAAATGGCAGGCGAGTCCTGAGCCGGGCCCATCCATTTGTAGCCTGCGCTTGCTTGGAGTGTGCGAGGTTCCCAACACTGACATTGCCACTTCCATCGTCGTCCCTGATGATGAATAATTAACCGCACCTGTGCGGCGCTGCTCGTGATCGGGCTTGGGGGGGGGGGGGTGGCACCATCATGCGCCACCGAACCCCTTCACCACGACGTCGAGCGATGCTGGTTCCATGACAACGCCACTCAATCCGCGACCAACGAGATTACAGGCCGCATTCCTCACAAGCAGCCGATGAATTAACCGCGCGCGACTGAATGAATGAATGCTGAACACCAGAGAGGACGCACAATTAAAATCAATAAGCTTACCACAGAGCGGCGCGCCCGTTCATCGCGAGAGGGTTAACGACAGGCAGCGCTATTCTTAGAAACCTCCCTGCGGTCGCTCGCGGTGCGGACAGCCCATCGGTGCCGGCCATCGGCACCGGCAGCCGAGACTCAAACGCTCAGCTGGAGCCGTGACACAAAGGAGGCGCGTGCGGATGACACCGCGCGTGCGTGCACGCGCTCCTCCCACCGTGCGCTGTGGGGCACGCAGGCCACGGGAACACGACGCAAGGACGGAGGCCAGTGCACCCCTACCTCACCACGCTCACTTCTGGGACCATCAGGGCCGCGCGCGCGACGGCACGGGCGCCGTCACGGCTCAGGACACCCGGGGGTGGGGGGGGCGGCGCTCCACTACAAGCGGCCATTCACCGCAACGGGCAGCAGGCGGCCATGCTGGATTCCTCCCATCTGCCTGTGGAGCCAAGGTCCCCAGAGGGGCAGGGTTGTCCGAGCTACTGCCCGACTGCCTGACCCTTTATAATAACAAAAACGAAATCCCCCCTACGTGAACGGCGGACACAGGCGCGAGTGGGCGACACGACGCATCCCACGCTGCGCCGCTAGAAGAGAGAGAAACCCCTGCGCTAACGGGCGGCAGTGGAATATTCTAGCAGCTGCAGCTCAAGTCGGCGGCTCTCTCAGCCTCTCCCCTCCCCCGCAGCAGCAGCAGCAGCAGAATCAATCGGGCTGCGCACACTTCCGAGCGGAGCGCCTGCCCTACATGCTAATTAGGCTCCGCTCGCACCGGCCCAACGCTCCCGCCTGCTCGCCATGCACAGGCGCCTCCAACACACACACACAAAAAAATCAATGGAGGCCGGTCCCAGGGGAACAGGCTCCGTGCAGGCGGATACAGAGGACACCTACAGAGCCAAGAAGACCTGGGTTCCCACCCCTCCCGGGGCGGGCATGCGGCGCGCCCAGCAGCTCCCCGCGTTCATCGCTCCACCACTCCCCCGATCTGCCTGGCACGCAATGGGCCCCCCCCCCCCCCGCCTCTCCACCGCTCGCAATCGAATAAAAAATTGGAGATTTCCTGGTCGGCGTGCGGCCACGGCCGGTGTTTAATTGGACGGGAGGTGTTGTGACGCAGCCCGCCGTGACGTCGCCGTGAAAAAAATGGATCGTTGACCGCACAAGGGAGGGGGGGGGGGTGTTCCTCACCCCCCCCCCCGAAAATAAAAACCGTTTAACCCAAGATCCATCTCAAGACTTTTTTTTTACAAAACACCAACGAGCAACGGCATTGGAAAGCCAACAAAGGAGCGAACGAATCACTAACCTGCCGATTTCAAAATATTCCCCAAACGCAGCACCGCTGCACCTCGCTAACGGATGACCTTGCGGTTTTAGATGCGCCCTGTGGTACCAGCAGCAGTGTCGGTGGTAGTGGCGGCTGCCGCGGGGTCGCGCGCCCCAACGAACGTCCCCGTGTCGTGTTCCGCTCGGCGAGGTGCCTCGATCGCAATCGGTGACCGCGCGTGCGACATCGGCGCCTTAAGCGGCACAGCGCAAAACGCCACCGCTACCAGCACAGCGCAAGGAGCAGCCCGCACCACTCGTGCGCGCAGCTCCCAGTCGGGCAGATGGCACAGATCTTTCTCAAGTACAAACTCGCTCAAATTCAGAACCAATTAGTGAAGCAAATGCCTTTTGCCCGGGTGTTTAAAATGCTGCGCAACCACCGTCACAATGCAGTCGAAATCCAGGTTCGAGATGTGTGCGGTCTGACCCGCTCCTTGCTGGGGTTGCCCAATTGTCAACAAATTGTGGGTGCATAACGGTTAAACTAAGACCCGAAAAATCGGCAACCCTCCCCCGCCCATTCACATCACCCGCCGGGGGACACAAACACGGCTCCTCGCTGAGACACAATCATATCATCATCACCACTAACCAACAGCAGCACTAATCCCTTTACAGCATGCGATTTACAACGGGAGTAGACGTCCACACGCGTTCAACCACCTGACACACGGGCATGCGCGAGGTGCGAGGTGTATGTCAATCTGGCCGGCAGCAGTGAAGCATGGGAGATTCTCACAATTCAAAAGAGTCAGGAGGGTTTTTTTTCTAACATGTTCATGATATCCACAAAGTGGCATTAATGCCACTACCACAACGATCACCATCCAAACCGCCATCATCACTATCAACAATGCCATCGATACTGCCATCAGCACCATCGATAATGCCATCATCAGCAAACTACCGAACTGCCTCGTGACCTTGCGATTCAAAAAAGTGCCATGAATGTGATGATTTTGGTGCCACTTGTGGATGTCGGGGTAACATGCACCGATAATTACATACAATATCATATCATTAATCTATCCATGGCTGGATCAGGGCCTCCCCAAGTCGTCGCCATCCCTCACGATCCTGCGATGTATCAATCCATCCTTGCAAATTATACTAAAATCTCTTCTTTTTGAGGTTTCAACTGGTTAAACAAGTAAATTTGACTTGATCTCGCAACTACAGAGAAGCCAATTTCAGTAGTCTATCTCCATGGTGTATGGTACCTCCTTTAACGAGCCACTCCATCCTTAGCCTTGACCACCAGCCAAAGCTTAATTATGAATCTTAAGTCAACACGATGTCTCTCACTTGTGTGCACATACACAAATCAGAAATACGAACTGTGTGTGTGTATAAATCAATAAATCAAAACTCTAAAAAAGGAAGCTAATGCACAAATTTAAGAAAATTAACACAACTGAAAACCTACGTAGCTATGGAGCAACGCTCTCCTATTGCTACACTGTTCAAGCGGGGAAGTAATGCGAGCGTTCCGGGTACGTATAGGCGAGCGACACGGCTACCTCGGCAGTCTTCTTCTGCAGCAGGCAGCAGCTGGCGCCGTAGGGGTATCGTGATGTCGGCAAATGATGAGATCAGAACGAGCCGACAAAAAACAAAACACTAATAGTTCACGTAAGGAACGATTTTAAGCAGACTCGATGCATGGTTACGTGCCAAAACATCGTCACCGCCATCGTCACCATCAAAGCCTGAGCAGACTGTAGGAGGTAAGTGCTGTTAGCCTGCACAGTACACGAGAGGGAGGGTGGCCAACACCACGCCCAGCCACCTTTGTCTCCCGATTGGCGATGTTGTTACACGCTGCAGCAGGTACTCATTTGAGGTTAAGTCGACCTAGGGGAGGCTCAGGATCGGCTCAGATAATCGTCACTGGTGTTGGCCGTGAGCCACCACTCCCTCCATCACCATCATCACTGTCACCATCACCATCTTCATCATCACAGGCATGTGTCCTCACAGGACCCCACGAAATCACTCCACAGACGCACTCCTAAACATGACCCTAGGGGGGCATGCAAGTCGTTTGTAATCTATTTAAAATACACACAAATGTTATTATACAGTCCTGTGGTATTCAATTTCGGAATGAAAGCCTGCCCCATACTTCATCACGCTGGCCGGTGCAAGTTGGTGAGGCGGGGGGGGGGGGTGGGCGCCCAGGACTGGTTCGGATATCATCCTTTCCAGTGAACTCTGGATGGGAATTCAACGGGGTATCCAGGTTCACGGTGCAGCGTTCCACTGGCTCCACCCATAATGTCACTCACCTTTAGAGTGACTGAATGAACGAGCCAAATAAAACAATACAAAAAGATGGTACAAATGTGACAAATATAATAAATAATTAACTATCTAATTAAATGGTGACCCCCAAATCGTCAGGGCTCATCGAAGTGAGGGAGGGCTGAATGTACGTTGGATGTACACTGAACTTCTTTCGCGCCCTACATAGCCAACCGCGCTAATCGGGGTCAAATATAATTACAATTAGAATCAGCATTGTTTGCTGAATTTACGAGTACAAGTATTAATTGCAAATCATTGTGAATGAGACAATCACAGGTGCAACTGATCCCAGGTGTGTGGTGAACAGTCCACACGTCCCCCATTCCTGTGGCAGCTGGGACCAGCAGAGATCATTTTCTACTGAACGAGACGACTCAATGTATGCTGAACTTCTTTCGCACCGTACGTGGCCAATGACGCGGGATCGCATCATGCATCATTAGTGATGTTGCGTCACAGTTTTTAACACTTTCCATCGGCCAAAAAAAGTTGATGAGTCCTCTGCGTCAGTCTGTCCATCATGGGTCGTGCATTTATAACTGTCATAAAGATGATCCAATTAGCCACTTTTGAGTAAAAAGTTGAATTGCTATCAGGGACCCTCTTGAAAGCCTGCCAAATGTTTTCAAACCTTGCCCACATTAAGCGATTCAAACTATCGCTTACGAGATAGGCCTCGTCGGCCAAGGCCATGACATCACACATCAAGCACTCACCATCTCGTTGTGCAGTATAACCTTAATATCGCTTCTTAAATTCGACCGAACCCAGGTCAGCAAGCGTTGCAGGAACAATGCGCATACATGATTTTTCTCCCATCTTATTACTTAAGTACAGTTTACAACCCTTCATAAATTCAATGCTGGATGAAGGCCTCCCAACACCGTTGTCGCACGTCACCAGGACCGTTCGGCCATCCTTCACCACGCTGGCTTTCCATTTATTTATCTATCGTTGGGCACCACGGCCCCAACTCAAAACTGTACAACGGATAGGCGTGTGTTATGCAGAGGGGTGTGCGCGGGGGCAGAGGTCGCAAACGGGTTTTGATTCCTTACCCGTACCCGGCCGCACCAGGGTCGCAAATGGGTACCCGTACCCGGCCGGGTACAGGTACCCGTTCCCTACCCGTACCCTACCCGAAGTGAGTGACAAACGGTTACTCACCAGTGACTCACGGCCTTCCCGTACCCGGCCGCACCAGGGTCGCATAACGGCTACCCGTACCCAGCTAGGTACGGGTAGCCGGGTATTGGGTAGGGTACGGGTATCGGGTACCCGGTTACGACCTCTGGCGCGGGGCAGCGGGAGGGATGGGGGAGGGCAATGAATCTAAGCAGGCTGCTCACAATAACGTGTAAAGCGGCGAGTGGAGATGGCCAGGCAAGACAACCGCTGGTGAGTGCCAGGTGAAGGCATGGTGAGCTGCATGCAAGCGGAATGCTTTGACTGGAGGATGGGCTGCTACCCTGTATTATGTTAATTATTCGGCAATGCTGCTGCGTTGGCACAAGGCCTCAAATAACAACATTAATCACTTTAACACGTAGGCTTTCGCGACCAATATTACTCATAATAAAGGTTTTTGGTTTAGACCTCGTAAGTATAAATGTGGCAAATCGCCCAATGATGCTGGATGTAATTATCAGCGAAACGTCGTAGTCAAATTATAAATGTTGTGGATTTACTCTCCAACACACCGGTGGGCTGAAGTTGTAGTTAATTGGCAAGTTGTTTACGGAGTTGGCCTGATAACTTTAATCTAAATTGTCTTATGGTTGCTTTTGTTTGATTTGCATCACATTGGGATTTTTGCACACAGCGTTGTAATACGGTGGGTTTTTTTCTGGAAGATTTGCTGGCTTCCAGGATGTTTCTGTTGCGCGTCGTCGCTTTAAGATGTTCTCTGTTCATATTTTGTTTCTTGCGGTTGCACCCGACTCAAGAGCCGCATGGCTTACAGGGCTATACCAAAAAAATGAAACTTGAAAATTTGAAACTTGTGACAAACCTTACTGGCTGTGTCGGGTTGGTGGAGGCGTACGACACATTTATACTTATGCAATCTAACCAAAAAACCTTCATTATGAAAATAAATCACATTCGTCAATAACACCTTACAAGGAAAAATAAATGAATTGGGGATGTTTCTGGCAAAGCAGATCATCATCATGGGCAGAAAGCCCGTAGGTGTCCACTGCCCATGTCATCATAGCACATCAATGATTGTATAAGCTAGAGGGAGGTTAGCGTCAGGTGAACGGATGACTGGAAAATTTTCACTCCTAGTTCTCAATACAGAGCTTTGAACCGGCCTGCATAATTACAAGGCACACAAACAGCGGACACATTGTGAGTCGGCCAAACGACGCAATGTGGGGGGGGGGGGAGCGGGAAGTGTGTGACTCACGTGTGCTCGCCGGGAGGAGCGCCCTCCGCCACTCTCCCTGTCCCTTCGTCACGCGCCGGCTCGGAACGCTGCAGACAACGCACATCGGCATCCGCGTCACGGCACTGACGTCAACTGCTCACCAAGAAACTAGGCAAGCCATCATTCACCTGTTTAGCCCCAGAGATTGCACACGAGTTATGACGGTAGCAAAGAAAAGGGTATTTGAGGTGGCAGTAATGCCTGCAACAGAGAGCCGAGCAGCTGAAACGAAAGTTACAGGCACTTGAGCAGAGGTGTCCGAACCAGACGCTGAGAATTCTGTGGCAAAGATAGCATAAGCAATGCAGACGCTTGGAGAACAATGCAGGTAAGCGTTGTTATAAAATGTGCAACAATGAAAAGGAGTTCTAGATTTGAAGTTTTCGTGACTTGCAAGGAACCATACTCTTTGGTTTTTTCGGTAAAGTCACGTAGGTAAAAAATATAAAATAAATGTATAAAATTAAATGTATATCATATATTTTTAATATAATAGAAAATAAATGAAAGTACAATTTATTTTTTTTACCTACGTGACTTTACCGAAAAAACCAAAGAGAATGTAAAGAAGACCTGTGCAAACGTGGTGACCGACACATGGGTGCATTACGATGGCTGACGCTTGATCGATCACATTGGAGCACGGCATGCGGCTCCAACGTTCGCACGTGCCTTAGCGGCTACTAAAAGTGAGCTTGATTCCATTGTCAATTCATGTACGTTTGCAATCGATAATCTATTCTGTTAACTAATACCATTCAAAATTGCATTGACAAAACCTAGCTGGCATTCATCAGCAGGCAAGGAACCGGCCAATCACTGCGTGACGGCTCACCTTATCATTTGGCACGAGGGCCGAGCGGCCGGGCTCTGCCTGGCCCCGCCGCTGCTTCTGCGTGTCGGGGGGGAAGTCCCTCTTCTCGCGGTCGGGGGACGATGACCCCGACGAGGAAGAGGACGAGGACGTGGAGGACGATGAAGATGACGACGAGGTCGAGGAGGACGACGACGACGACGAGCCCTTGCACGCCTTCCGTCTGGGCAAACCCTCGTCCTCGCTGCTCGAGTGCCTGCGCTTGCGGTCGTCGCCCTTCGCGTCACGGCCGCGCGCACCGCCCTGCTCCTCCTTATCGTGCTGCCGCTTCGGCCCCGGCTCCTGCTTATGGCCCCGCTGCTCCTTCTCTGCTTCTCTCTGCTCCCGGCCGCGCTCCTCACCGTGCCGGCGCTCCCCACCCTCCTCCTCCGTTTTGTGCTTCTTCTCCTGGGGAGCTCTCTCTGCTCCTTCTTGCGGTTTGACCTTCAGCTCGGCTGCCCCCCGCTTGCACTTCGCCAATTCCTCCTGCTTGCGCTTCTCGTCGGCCTCCTTGTGCTTCTGCTCTGCTTCATCCTGCTTGCGCTTCAGGTCTGCCTCCTGCTGTTTACCCTTCAGCTCCGCCTCTTGCTTATGCTTCTTATCTGCTTCCTCCTGCTTCTGCTTCTTGTCCGCTTCCTCCTGCTTACGCTTCTTCTCTGCTTCCTCCTGCTTACGCTTTAGCTCTGCCTCCTGCTTATGCTTCAGCTCCGCTTCCTCTTCCTTACGCTTCTTATCCGCTTCCTCCTGCTTACGCTTCTTCTCTGCTTCCTCCTGCTTACGCTTTAGCTCTGCCTCCTGCTTATGCTTCAGCTCCGCTTCCTCCTGCTTACGCTTCTTATCCGCTTCTTCCTGCTTACGCTTCTTCTCTGCTTCCTCCTGCTTACGCTTCTCTGCTTCCTCCTGCTTACGCTTCTCTGCTTCCTCTTGCTTATGCTTTAGCTCTGCCTCCTGCTTATGCTTCAGCTCCGCTTCCTCTTGCTTACGCTTCTTCTCCGCTTCCTCCTGCTTATGCTTCAGCTCTGCTTCCTCCTGCTTACGCTTCTCTGCTTCCTCCTGCTTACGCTTCTCTGCTTCTTCTTGCTTATGCTTTAGCTCTGCCTCCTGCTTACGCTTCTTCTCCGCTTCCTCCTGCTTACGCTTCTTCTCTGCTTCCTCTTGCTTATGCTTCAGCTCTGCTTCCTCTTGCTTACGCTTCAGCTCTGCCTCCTGCTTACGCTTCAGCTCCGCTTCCTCTTGCTTATGCTTTAGCTCCGCCTCCTGCTTATGCTTCAGCTCTGCTTCCTCTTGCTTACGCTTCTTCTCTGCTTCCTCTTGCTTATGCTTCAGCTCTGCTTCCTCTTGCTTACGCTTCAGCTCTGCCTCCTGCTTACGCTTCAGCTCCGCTTCCTCTTGCTTATGCTTTAGCTCCGCCTCCTGCTTATGCTTCAGCTCTGCTTCCTCTTGCTTACGCTTCTTCTCTGCTTCCTCCTGCTTACGCTTCAGCTCCGCTTCCTCTTGCTTATGCTTTAGCTCTGCTTCTTCCTTTATACGCTTCTCTTCTACTTCCTTAAGCTTTTGTTTCCGTTCCTCCTCCTGCTTCATCTCTGCTTCTTCTTTCTGCTTCCGCTTCTGCTCCTCTTCCTCTTTGCGCTTCTCCTCTGCTTCCATATGCTTTTGTTTGCGCTCCTCCTCTTCCTGTTTGCGCTTCCGTTCTGCCTCCTCTTCCTGTTTACGCTTCCGTTCTGCTTCCTCCTGTTTGTGCCTTTCCTCCGCTTCCTCCTTTCTGCGCTTCTCGTCTGCTTCTTTAAGCTTGCGTTTCCGTTCCTCCTCCTCCTTAAGCTTCAGCTCTGCTTCCTCCTCTTCCTGTTTGCGCTTCTGCTCCTCCTGTTTGCGTTTCAGCTCCGCTTCCTCCTGTGTGCGCTTTAACTCCTCCTCCTGCCTACGCTTCACCTCAGCTTCCTCCTGCTTGCGCTTCTCCTCTGCTTCTTCCTTTCTACGCTTCACCTCGGCTTCTTCCTGCTTGCGCTTTAGCTCGGCTTCCTCCTGCTTGCGCTTCTCCTCTGCTTCTTCCTTTCTACGCTTCTCCTCTGCTTCTTCCTTTCTACGCTTCTCCTCTGCTTCTTTCTGTTTCTGCTTCTCCTCTGCTTCTTCCTGTCTACGTTTCTCCGCTTCCTTCTGCTTACGCTTCTCCTCTGCTTCTTCCTGCCTACGCTTCTCCTCTGCTTCCTTCTGCTTGCGCTTATCCTCTGCTTCCTTTTGCTTACGCTTCTCCTCTGCTTCTTCCTGCCTACGCTTCTCCTCTGCTTCCTTCTGCTTGCGCTTATCCTCTGCTTCCTTTTGCTTACGCTTCTCCTCTGCTTCTTCCTGCCTACGCTTCTCCTCTGCTTCCTTCTGCTTGCGCTTCTCTGCTTCTTCCTGCTTACGCTTCTCCTCTGCTTCTTCCTGTCGTCGTTTCTCCTCTGCTTCCTTCTGCTTGCGCTTCTCCTCTGCTTCCTTTTGCTTACGCTTCTCCTCTGCTTCTTCCTGTCGTCGTTTCTCCTCTGCTTCCTTCTGCTTGCGCTTATCCTCTGCTTCCTTTTGCTTGCGCTTCTCCTCTGCTTCTTCCTGTCGTCGTTTATCCTCTGCTTCCTTCTGCTTGCGCTTATCCTCTGCTTCTTCCTGCTTGCGCTTCTCCTCTGCTTCCTTTTGCTTACGTTTCTCCAATTCTTCCTGTCTGCGCTTCTCTGCTTCTTCCTGCTTGCGCTTTTCTGCTTCTTCCTGTCTCTGTTTCTCCTCTGCTTCCTCTTGCTTGCGCCTCTTCTCCCTCTCTTCCTCTTGGCGTAGTCGCTCCGCTTCCTCACGCTTGCGCACCTCGGCCTCCTCCCGCTCCCTCTGCTGCTCGCGAGCCACCCTCTCGGCTTCCTCAGCCTCCCGCACGGCGGCTAAGCGCTTCTCCTCCTCACCCCTGCCCGCCCTGGGTTCGACTCCCTGGCCAAGGTTCCGTGCGCGGCCCTCCGTCTCCTCCTCCCCGTCGCCCGGTGCGCCGGGTGAGGGGCTTCGCTTCTTCCTGTCGGCCTTCCTCACACGCATCTGTGCCGCAGACACGCACGGCGAACGCAGCCTCGTTACCCCTCGGCACGATCACCGCCGCTAAGAGGTAAATGACGCGGCACTTCTGCTGTTACCGCCACTGTCGCTGCTGCTCCCGATGGTGTTGTCCGCTAGGCACGCTACGACGCATCAGTTCAGCGGTCGACAAATTCTTACGCAACCGGCGCAAATTGAACCATGCGCGAGAAACCATTACATCCGTATGTTGTTCTTATTTTCAATTCATGTGCCTCCCTGTAGCCACTACAGGCAACAGCCACTGTAAAATATCCAAGTCGTTGGTCAAATTGTGGCCCAGAATTGTGACAACTCATCAAATTACTCATCGAATTAAGCCTATGGTCTACTGTTTCACGGGCTGCAAAAGTCGGCAAATAAAGTTGCATGTGGGTGCACAATAAGCAACTTTGATTCCAGACACTTCAAAAATAGTTACAAATGTAAGATAACTACGATTCAGATGCAAACGGTCACTTGGATCATCACTGCAACACAAAAATGAAATTCCATGGTGGATTTTGAGTATCACGGATAAATTGAAGTTGGCTTGCTTCATATTTTATAAAGGTAAATCACGTTAGAAAACTGGAGTGGGAATATTTCCTTGCCCAAAAGTCCAAGGCAAGGGCAGAGTATTGGGTTCAGTGACCAGTTGTATAAAATACCTTGAAAAAAAAGTCCCTTAATTGAAACCGATTTAAATAGGAGTGAAAGGGAATTTTGTATTCAAGTTGTTTCATGCAACTGACCCCAGACCTGCCGCATTACCGATGCGTGGATTTACTCATTAAATGTGATTCTTCCTGTTCAAAATATGAGCATTGAAATTACGCAAATTATACTCCTACACTACACTTTTACGCTAATGGAGCAAACAAAACAACACACAGAACTACAAATGAGGCGGTTAAGACCCAGACAAAAAATATATATATATCGATATCTGAATAAAATAAACTCTAATTGGAACAATTTCCTGGCTGGAAGTGGGGTGGGGGGATGATTCGATACATTGTTGCATGCCTAGTATTGATCATTAAACACAGGGGCTTCAATTTACAAAAATTAAGGCCCATGTCCTTAATTCACAACAGTGGAAGAGAGCAGCGATGTACAAAACAGCGGCGCCGATTGACGTCGGCTAAGGCAGCTTTCACTGCTGCACCGTCGCCCCGTCTCCTCCTCGTGGCGCCGGCCTCGTGGCGCCGACCGCCCGCCGCTAACTCCGCGGAACTCACTGGCGAGCGGGACTTGGAGTCGGCCGACGAGGAGCCACTGCGCGACGACGACGAAGACGAGGATGAGGAAGACGAGCGAGACGAGGACGAGGAGGATGACGACGATCGCGAGCTCGACGCGGAGCGGGAGCTTGAGCGAGACCTGGAGCGGCCTCGGCCGCGCCTCTTGCCCTCGGCCGGAGCCGCTGCCGCCACCTTCCGAGGTTTCCCATCTTCTGAAGCCACCAAGGGAGGGGGCACAGCTTCTACCCGCCCGTCGGCAGGCACCATCGCCTGTTCCTTGGTGCCAGATTTTGCCGCGCGGGGACGGGGGACGTCAGCCGCTACCGGCGGTTCCAGGAGGCTGCCTGGCTGGGCCCCACGTGGGAGGGAGATAGGCTTCGAGGAGGGCAGTGGCGCATTCACGGGGCCGTCCTCTTGCTCCAGGTGTGGAGGGGACGCCTCCTGCAGCACGGGCGACTCTGTGGCGCTTTTCCTCTCAGCCTGGAACGCCGACGACGACCTCTCCTGCACCAGCTGCGGCGGCGATGCCTCCATCGGCTCTTCAGCAGGAGCACCATCGCGCTTGCACGCAGCTTGAATGACGGACGCTTGGCCGGCGGATCCACCCAGCTCCACGCGAGTTGCGGTCTTCTGCTCCCCTTTACTTTTCCCCACAGTGACATCCATCTTCTCTTCTTCCTCCGCCACCTTCTGCGCCATCTCCGCGCCTCTCTTGGGCTTAACGTGCATCCCCGTGGCGCCTCTCTCCCCTTCGTCAGCTTCTTCTGCCGGAGCTGTAGCGTCACCATCACCGTCACAAGCGGACGCGAGTCCTGCACGGCGGGTACTTCTGGCCGACAGGCGAGGGGCGTCGTTGGGGGCGGCGTGGGGAGGAGGGGGGCTCGCGGGAGCCTGTGCGTCCCCGCAGGCCTCAGGCTCTGGCGGCTCCGTACACGGAACTTGGGCCGTCAATACTGGGATAGGGGCTTCATCCTAACGAGGGAGACGCACGCCCGGGCAGGCACGGGTCACACGGCGCTCACTCACACGGGAGGCATCCTGGGCTCTACTGTGAACAATAGCACCACTCATCAATATCATCTATTATCTATCCACTGCTGGATGAAGGTTTCACTGTGCCTCACAGTCCGGGGATGTAACAATCCGTCTATCTTCTGCACATAAGCTGACGTCATCTGTGGTGTATGTTCTCTAGGGCGTGTTCCCTCCTTTGGCTGCCACTCCACCGTTAGTCTCGACCACCGGTCATCATCTCTACTAGTGACACGTCCTGCCCAATCCCACTTGATTTTTTAGCAGTCAATATGTCTAACGTGCGTGTGTTCTCTAATCCACGTGTTCCTTTTTCTCAGTGTGATTTAATGCACGCACCTGTCCGTGCCTCTTTTGTTTCATATCCTTTATCAGTGTCCACGCACCTATTTGATCCATCGGTCGTTAGCTGGAGATACGCACCGATTTAACACTTTCTTCAGGCAACTTGGTGGATTTCTCTTCATTGGGCAATAATCTGAATAATCTTGATACAAGAGCCTAATAAAGAAGACACATTCACCAATAACACTGTGGCCTTAATACGAAACATAAATAATAGGTGACGTTTCAGGCAATGGCCCTTCTTGATAGCAAAACATAACACGTCTTCTTCTTCAGTGGACGTTAAAGATCCCCAGATGTCATCCGCAAAAGTAGACCGCTATGTAAATGAGGTTATGTTCTATGAAGGACAATTGCCCAAAACGTTGCCTAGCATATTTTTCCTTATAAGCCCACACACAGTGTTATTGGCGAATGTGTCGAGGCTTTTTGTTTATTTGTGTGACTCACCACTGCCAATGCAGTATCACCAAATAACATATGTAATGAAGGTACAAAATAGGGCTCAAGATAAATAAAGTCAATTAGTGCACTTGGAATAAGAGGCTAACGTGCCTGTAATTCTTCAAGTTCTTTTGTGACTTTCAAATAAAAGGATGATCGTGGCACTCCAATTCTTGGTAAACATTTCGTGAACAGGATCATTAATTTTTGTTCCGAAAACTGGTCTCACTTCTTTGATTTGCGAGTGGAAAGTTAAATAAGTGAAACCATCTATTTCCATTGGCCGTTTCCATTCGCTGTTGGAAACAAACTGCAGTAAATCGTAGGACAACTTAATACAGAATTCTGCAAAGTGGGGGCTCAAGATAAACAAAGGAATGTACAGGTTCTCCAGTTGACTGAAGACACTCGCAGGGGAAACTCAACTGGAGAACGCATCATTGTATAATATATCGAGGAACGTTCGTGGAGATGGATCGGGATCAATGCGATTAAATAAGGAGGTGCACATCAGGTTGGAATCCTGCAAAAAACAACAACTTAATAATAGTAAGGTGTTATTCATGTTTTCAACACGTATTTGGGAGGAGAGAATGAGTCACAAAAGGGATATGCTACGTTCCCATGACCAAGTGGAAAGCGGATTCGGCCATCCTGGTTTGTTCTAAGATTGACAGCACGGCTCCAATCTGCATCTCAGTGCTCAACCACTTGCGCAGTGCTGCTATGACCTCCCCATCTTTACTCTCAGCGATCAAAAGGTTGTTTTTTATGTTTGGGGTGAGTTAGGTTATTCCAAGCCAAAATTTTTTTTTTTGAATATGCAGGTTTCCATCGCTTTATTCAAGTTGGGTTTATACAAATTTGCGTATATGCAACGAACCTATCGCGACCCAAAATGTGCTACATGTGGTTTGAATTCACTCGTATGCGGCAATGCGGTCGGACTTGTTTGGGGTACTGCACGCGCTATTCGGCAGGCATCCGTCTCGTGCGGTTTCGCTTTAGTACGCCCCTTTTATTGGTAACGCATCTACTACCGCATAAAGCGTGGGAAAAACCTGTACATACATACATATATATAAAGTTCCCCACCCCCACCCCCCAAGACAAACTAGGCGAGGAACACCACAGGAGGCGCGCCCCGTGTGAACGCACCAAACCCCATAACATTGAGACTATTTCCAAGGGAGGCTAAAGATTAAAAACAAAAAAGCTAAAGCGTGCGGCTCCCTTGTGAAATAAAAGTGACGGGGTCTGCTTAAGAGACCCCCGCTTGGTGAGGACCCGGTACGGCTTGTCGTGGGAATCCGGGCTGAGCCCACAAGGCCAGTTTATGATCGAGGCTTTCCCCGGTGGCGATGGAAACGTAGCATAAAACTATACAAATGACACTTAAATAGGCATGTAACGATTTACCGCTCGAACAAATGTAACAAATGTCAAGTCATAATTTTGGGTAACAATTTGATTTCAGAAGGCATTATATTTTATATTTTTGTCCCATTTGTACTGCCTTTGTTGGAGCGCCTGCCTTGTTTGCATGATTTAATAAGTAGTGTCTGTTTCGTCAATTGTTTGTCTTGTTTGAAGTCTCTTTGTCCCGTCTTGTCCGTCTAACTTGTTTCATCTCGTTTGTCGCGACCATGGGCCTATTTATTTTTTACAATTTGCACGAATTGACAACAGCCACTCTCTACACAGACAACTTAAGACGTGCGTGTCCTGTGCGTGACAATCGATATTTATCGATGAATCGTTACATGCCTACTTTTGATCCGACCCCCCTTACACAGCGACAAGCCTCTGACCTCCTGGCGGTCCGTGAGCGAAGGCTCCTCGGAGTCCTCCTCCGCCTGCTGCTTCTCCGCCGCATCGACCCTCGGCGGCGCCAACACCTTGTCGTCCACGCGGTACCCGCCGCTCCACTTGCGGGGCGTCCTCCTCACGACCGGCGGCGCTTCCTCCGCCGGCTCGGCAGGCAGCGAGTTGCGGCTGCGTCGCTTGCGCTCTACTCGCTTGGGCCAGACGCGCTCCTCCTCCTCCTCCTCTTCTTCCGGCTCTACCGGCTCGTTCTTGTCCTGTCCCGCAGATGCCTCGGCCACCGCCGCAACCGGGGGCTCTGCCGCTGAGCACACGCGCGGAGCGGAAAGAAGCACGGGCTGTCAGCTGTGGCTGTAGCTGTGCGGCTAAGAGACAGCGGTGTAGCCAATGTGGAAGCGGCAATCCCATTAAAAATATCCGAGCTTGTAACAACCCACTTATTTTTCGATTTAAAGCTTTCGTGACTGCAGGGATTCATCTTCTTGGTTCTTTCGGTAAAGTCACGTAGAAGGGAAGTAATAAAATAATAAAAATAAAACATAATAACCCACTTATTCATGCCCAAGTCTCACTGCATTGTACACGATTGTTATTGATCGTTTATCATGTTTACGGTGTCGCTTTGTTCAACTCGTCTCCCTCGCCTGGTTAGAACGTTTATGAATTAAGGAATGCTCTCCTACAAGGTGTTAACATTTGCATGATCCAGACTGCTTGATGCTTTGTTGCAGCTATTGATGTGACTTGGTCAATGGAATGTGTCGATGATTTTAAGTCACGACTGTAAACTCACTTCTACACCATCGCCGCTTTGGATCAAAAGACCAAAGACTTGATACAATCTCTTCACCTTAATTTTTCCTGCCCCGATCTCGTTTTGTACAGAGTTTAAATGTTTGCATGTACGGCGATGTGTGATCTTTCAATGAATGACGCAATATTGCAATTATGAACACTGGCTGCGTGTAACGGACGTTAAAATGGACTTTGTAGATTTTCATATTGACGAAGGTCAAATGTTACATTTCACAAGGTCAAATGTTCTGGAATTCGAGGTAAGCAAGAAGGGCCACCGAAATAAACATTCAAAATCTTTATTTAGACTGGTGGAAATATAATGCACATACCTTTGGACAGCACGTCCTCTGTTGGTGAATGTAATTTTACTTGAATAATTACGTGTAAGTCAATAAATTTGTAAATTAAGTGCCGCTTTGTTACTTATTTCCCACAACCGGAAATGCTCTCCCCTGTTGGTGAATGTAATTTTACTTGAATAATTATGTGTAAGTCAATAAATTTGTGATTTAAGTGCCGCTTTGTTACTTATTTCCCACAACCGGAAATGCTCTCCCCCCTCCGTTTAGTCTGGCTTCTCGAGGTTATACTGTAGACCTCGCCAGTCTCAAATACGTTTGGCGATTCGCAAACAAAACGAAGCCGCCGAGCGCTCCGTGCACGGCTGCCGTGGCAGTCGCGGGCGTGCTACCTGTGTAGCTGTTGAGCTCCTGGTTCTCGGGAATGGACTGCAGGTCTGGAGGCTGAGTGACCAACGAGTCTTGGTGCGAGGTGGTCTCATCCTCCGATTCGGCAGACACCTCTGCACACGGCGCAAACACGCGCAATTTATCCTCACGGCGACGATTGCAACAAGACGCGCTCACATGTTCAGCAGGCTCAGATGAACTCATTGGTGGCTCCACCGTGAACCCTTTAGACCTGGGGTGATTCATCATCCCTAGCGATTTTATGAAAAGTGACATTTAACAGCCGGGATCCCATTCGAAGCATTTGCTCTTTTTTAAATCCTTTATATTAAGTTCACTTGCTTGCTTGCTTGCGCGCTTACGACCGTGCAAATCTTTCGGTCGTTTTTTAACCCACTTCCCGTGATCCAATCGAGCTGACATTTTGCACACAGACTCGTTGTGCGTGACAATTTCTTCTCGTGAAATTTTTTTCCCAAAATGTTACACTTTTTAGGAAAAAATAAATTATATTTAATTACCAATTGCTTAATGGTGGCAGGCAATCATCTGACCCATAGGTGGCAGCCATCTCAAGCCAGAGGACGAGAGGACTCTAGCCGCCACGCATATGAAGGATTTATAGTGAAAAACTTTGTTTTTACGGGTTAATTTTTTTACGTTACGGGTTAATTTTTTTTACTGTTTCGTGTCAGTTCAGTGCCAATGGTAGAGTTTTGTTCGCTCCACTGGTCAATGAATGTAACACGAGCATTTCGTTTGTATGAATTGTTATCGACTCTATGCCAGTATCGCAAGCGTGAGGATTGATTTTAATCTATGAATCTATGCATCGTTACGTGCCTAAACAAGTGTAATAATGATAATAATGCCAAACTGGTGACGATGGTTGGTGGTAGGTAAGTAGCAACTCCCCTTATCCAGTGATTGTTACAATTCTTGGTCGCAAGTTCTTTCAGGAATGAAGTTTTTTGTCGAATTATAATTCGAATAATAATAAGTAAAAAATATTCTAAAAAATATATAAATTGGTCAGTAATCATTATTACTGCCCGATTTTTTTTATTTGTTCCTTCTCGTTTGTACGGCATTGTTTGTTCCATTCGCCTAAATGTATCGTTAGCATAGCATTTACATGCACCTTCAAACGATCATTGTTTACCGCACTGTATATCCACTGCTGGATTAAACTTCCTAACTCCGCCGTGGAGTTGGGGTTTTATGACCATGCCTCATGCATGACTGGTTCATATATCACTGCCCAATGGCGCGAACTGTGTTGGGGAATTGAGAACTCAGGTCGCCGGGATCGTAGTTCGGTGCAGGAACCACTGATGCACCCCAATTTGCATGAATGGTGAATATTAACACATTCCTGCAAAAGGAGCTGGTAGGAACGTTGGGTTGCTCGGTCAATGGTCAACGGCGGCGTGGTGTATTCCGCAAATATGGCCGACTGTGAGGGCGGGCACAAGCCGGCGTGAGAAGGTTAAACGTTGAGTTTTATAAGGGCACCACGGGGTGAAAAGCCCCTCCCTCCCCACCCAGCCCCTCCCCACCCTCCCCTCCCCACCCAGCCCCTCCCCACCCAGCCCCTCCCCACCCAGCCCCACCCCTCCCATTTTTGGATGCACGACGGACGGACAGAATAATCCCCTGTGGGCTGGTGTAACCAGGAGGTTCCTACCAGTATAACTCTTGTTTACCCAGGAGTCTCACTGAACCTCAAGACTAATTTTTTTAAGAAGGTCCTGCCAAGTATTCGGAGAAGGCGGCAATGTTGCTATGTGCCATCCCAATTTGAATAATTTGCAGGTACTTTTTTAGCATTGGGATGTTTGTCCAATAGCAGTTACATTGCATATTTTTTTAGCTACGAAGGAAACCGGAGAACCTGGAGCAAACCCATACAGAACAGCGGGAGAGCGTACAAACTCCACACAGAAAGGCATCCGAGGGAGGAATCGAACCGAGCACATTTTGCCGTGAGGCACGAGTGTTAACACTGCGCCACCCTGCCGCCGAATTTAATCGTGAACACGAAAATCTGTTTTAATCGCCGATGCGTCGCGATGCCTCGTACTCACCCTCTGACTCGGTGGCCGCCTGCGCATCGCGCGCTATCCTCTGCTGCAGGAGCTGCTGTTGTTTTTCCAGGTACTGCTTGATGAAGCTGTTGGAGCTCATCTCCTCCCCGATCTGCGCAACGGCGTCATCGGCGTTAGTATGCAAAACCCACCATTCACTGCACAAGAGTGACTGCGACAGGCCCCAGACAATAAAAGTTGAGACACGGGGTGAATCTCTCTCGCTCGCTCTCTCTTGCCAGCAGCTCTTGGCTGCCTAAACAGAGAAGGCACGGGGGCACTTACGGAAGAGTTGGGCTGCAAGCCAGCCTGCTGACCAGACGTCTTCTGCAGCTGTTCCAGCATGAGGGCCTGTGAGCAGAACACACGGGAGAGAGATGCGGCTTTACCAAACGTTGCGATTAATAGACACGAACCACGACAGGTACCACTCCTGCCCAATGCTACTGAGGTAATACGAGTTACTGCAAACTACCGGCGGAAACAATCGGCAAATGGATGGCAATGTTTTAGAGGGATATTGTAGGTCTGTAAAGAACACGTACAAGTGTCGTACCTTAAGGAGAACCACACTGGGACATTATGATCCAAAGACCAAGCTGAGAATATGAAATAATTGTGGACATTGTCAGTTTCTAACTTATCATAAACTGTGGGACCTTATAACTCACTAGCGGTAAGTATCCGGCGTTCTCTGCAAGTGTTTAACCCAGAAAAGACCAAACAGAGATATAATAATGCACCAGAGATATTATAAGGAGAACGCCTCGACAATAACACTCATCACAGACCAAACTGAGTTTTTAGTTCTTCTGCGATCATGCGGGAGCGTTATGAGTTTATAATCCAGCACGAACTTATGGAAAGCCCTTTTCCAGCAACGGACTGAGAAAAGGGCTGGACAAGTACATATATTACCCAGGCTGGGACATTACAACCCACCAAAGACAACACGACAACTTAGATTACAGGCGAATCTGGGGGCTTCATACTGATCATACGCCATACTGAGAAATTATAATTTCATAAGTACCCTGCTAAGGGCAATACAACTGAATGTAAAGCAAGCTGAGCCGTTACCATATAATGCTCATAGTGTATAATTATGATATATTTGTAACCTAGTGAGCCTGCAACACCACATTGGCCACTGAGTTTATAATCCACCAAGGAAGGCACTGGCACAGCAACTCAAGAACCACGCTAACGAGCTTATAGCACGTAAGCCACACTCAAGGGTTTATAATTAGGAACACGTCACACTTCAAGATATCGTAACGCTCAACAGGTAATATGAAGAGGTGGGCTTGGTGGCTCAGATCCGAGATTTAAGTCTGGGTGGTTTAGTAAGACGCAGGTGTCATGAGTTGATGGTCTAAAGAGAAAGATCACTTGGAAGGGATATCAGTAGAAGTTCTGTGAAAATCTAATGACGATGCTTCTGTTCTCCAGCATACAGGGTTGCACTGCTCTGTGATTTCCAAAAACTGTAAATCCTTGGCCTCATGATGCTGATTGCACAATCTAAATAAAATTGGAGTTGAGATGGGGCGGGGGGGGGCAAAACACAAAATCCACTCGGTGATTTAATTCCTATCCAAAACCATGTGGATTTCTCACAGGTAATAATAGAACAGGCTGGGGATAGTATAACTAACTCAGACTACACCTAGGACACTATCACTAATCCCACACTTAAGAACCATTGCAGCTTAATGTGGACCGTGCTCGAACAATCCAGCATAGCATAGACCATCCAAAAAGTGTGCAAAATATCAAAGACCACACGAATATTATAACACATTGAAAGCTATGCTTTTAACCTGGCTTCGTACACTATAAACCCACAGCAAATCTGTGACCAAAGACTTATATATGGACATTATAACATAACTCATCCTAGACTGTGCTGTTAGACTATAACTCAATGTAGCCAACAGCAAGACATTGCAACTCAACGAGAACCATCCTATCCACTTGTAACTTGGCATGGATATTCGCTCTGGGTTAATAACCTACCAGATACAGCACTGGGACATTATAACTCATCGGAAGCCACGATGTGTCGTGATACATTACCGTACGTTTCTAACCAAGTTATAAACCAAAGTTCTAACCCATCAGATGCCACACCGATATGATGTAACGGACCACAGCACAAACCACTACTTAAGTTTAGAACTCACCACCAACCTTGCAGTGAATTTAATACGCATTCAGAAACAAACCTGCAGATTAATAACGCACTGAAATCCGTAACGACTCTATACCCCTCACTGCGAGGTGACTTTAAAGGCATCCCCGTCCCTCTGTGAGTCTATAACCCAGCATAGAGCGTTAAAAAGAGTTAACATTCTAAATTATCTTCGGCGTCAATGATTTAATAACGTCAATCATAATAATGAACACAAACCTCTCCGTTGGTCTGACCCACAATACGCCTGTAAAGTGTAATATATATTTAAATTATCTTCGGCGTCAATGATTTAATAACATCAATCATAATAATGAACACAAACCTCTCCGTTGGTCCGACCCACAATACGCCTCTAAGGTGTAATATATATTTAAAGAGCATCATACATAAGTTTAGAACCAACTGTTGAAAACAAAACAACCGTTGAGACCACTAAAAGGATAAACTAAACATTATAAAGTAACCCACATTAGGCCGCAATGCGAGTTTCTAGTCCAGCAGTCCACAACCACGTTGCGAGTTTAGAACTCATGACAGACTTCTCACATGTATACTAATAAACCCCATTAAGGGATCAAACTTGGATAACGTAAACACAAAAATATTCCATTACAGACCACAAGGGGACACGAAAACCCACCACTATCACAAGCCCCGCCGAAAGCCACATTAGGCCCCTCCGTGTGGCTTTATAAACCAGTGAAGATACACCACGCAATTAGTTAACAAGTCCTCAAACACTACAACAGGCTACACACAAGAATACCCATGCAAGACCAAACAGAGATCACAGAAAAAACAATAATCATCGACTGGGACATGCGAACCACTTAGGCCGCGCAGTCCGAATCCCAACATTTAGGCCTCAGCGAGTTTTACGAGGTAGTGCCTTGAGTTCATAACTCAACGCAGACCTCCACGGGGGCCACGATAACCCACGGGGAACACGTGAAAACCTCTCGACCCCACGGGGGGTGAGTGTGGGGTGAGTTTCACGCTCTCGAACCCTCGTGTTGAGAGTTCACCCCGCGCCTGCCTCGTCTCCACACGCGGCCTCGTTACCCCGTGCCCGCAAGGCGCCAACCCCTACCCCCCTCAACAACCCGACAGAGTGTGGTTTGCACACACACACCTCTTCCAAAAGGGGGGCCAGGGGCTCAGGGGAAAAGCGGGGGGCTCAAGGAGAGACCGAGACGGACGGCGAGGGGGGTTCGGGCCCCGCGCCGCGCTTAGTCGAGGCGCCAACGCGCGTTTGAGCGGGATGAGGGGGGGATGGGGGTAGGCCTCAAGGGGCTCGGGGGACGCATGGGCCCCGCGGGGAGCCTCACCCCCTTGAGACGCTTGACGAGCGCGTTCTTGGGGCCGCTCTTGGCGAGGCCGCGTTGCTCCAGGGCCGCCTTGAGGTCTGTGACGCGCAGAGAGTGCAGGGGCCGCCCGTCCAGACTCACGTCCTCCAGCTCCGCCATCTTGTCCATGGGCGCCCGGCTCCTCCTCCCCCACCCACCTCGACCCCGCCCCTCTCCCCCCCCCCACATCCCCCGCCCCTCTCCCCCCCCCAACCTCGACCCCGCCCCTCTCCCCCCCCCACATCCCCCGCCCCTCTCCCCCCCCCAACCTCGACCCCGCCCCTCTCCCCCCCCCAACCTCGACCCCGCCCCTCTCCCCCCCCCAACCTCGACCCCGCCCCTCTCCTCCCCCCCCTCCAACCTCCCCCGCCCCTCTCCCCAGCCCCCTCCCCAACCTCCCCCGCCCCTCTCCCCCCCAACCTCTCCCCCCCTCCAACCTCCCCCACCCCCCTCCCCCCCCAACCTCCCCCGCCCCTCTCCCCCCCCCAACCTCGACCCCGCCCCTCTCCCCCCCCCAACCTCGACCCCGCCCCTCTCCTCCCCCCCTCCAACCTCCCCCGCCCCTCTCCCCCCCCCAACCTCCCCCCATCTCCCCCCCAACCTCCCCCCCCCTCTCCCCCCCAACCTCCCCCCATCTCCCCCCCAACCTCCCCCCCCCCTCTCCCCCCCAACCTCCCCCCCACAACCTCGACCCCGCCCCTCTCCCCCCCCCCCAACCTCCCCCCATCTCCCCCCCAACCTCCCCCCCCCTCTCCCCCCCAACCTCCCCCCCCCCAACCTCGACCCCGCCCCTCTCCCCCCCCCCCCAACCTCCCCCCCTCTCCCCCCCACAACCTCCCCCCCTCTACCCCCCCAAACCCCCCCCTCCCTCGCCCCCCCCAACCTCTCCCCCCCCCAACCTCGACCCCGCCCCTCTCCCCCCCCCAACCTCCCCCCCTCTCCCCCCCAACCTCGACCCCGCCCCTCTCCCCCCTTAACCTCCCCCCCCTCCCCAGCCCCCCTGCCCAGCCCCCCTCCCCAACCTCCCCCGCCCCTCTCCCCCCCTCCAACCACCCCCGCCCCTCCCCAACATCCCTCGCCAATCTCCCCCCCCAAACCTCCCCCCCCCCTAATCTCCCCCCCATCCTCCCCAGCCCCTCCCCAATCTCCCCCGCCCCTCTCCCCCCCACCTCCCCCGCCCCTCTGCCCCCCCACTTCCCCCGCCCCTCTCCCTCCCCAAACCTCCCCCTTCTTCCTTTTCCTCCCCCCCTCCCTCCTCCCATTCCCCCTCCCATCCCCCCTCCCTCCTCCCCCTCCCTCCTCCCCTGCCCCTCCCTCCTCCTCTTCCCCCCTTCCCCCCTCCCTCCTCCCCTTACCCCTCTTCCTCCTCCACTTCCCCCACCCCCTCCCTCAGCCCGCCTCCTCCTCCCTCACCCCTCCCTCCCCATCTCGCCTCCTGCACCTCCTTTAAACAACAATGTCCCGAAGCAAGAGGATCCTTGCTGTGGATACACGTTGTCACACTTGCAAATGCGATGTATAACTTTCGATCATTGCCCGTGTAGTAATATCATCTATCGATAGTTCAATATGTATTGTGCCAATGTATTGAGGGGCTACTAACTGTGTGGTGTGGGACTGTTTTCCTGTAAGTTTTTTTTTGCTCAATCTTGATCAAATCGGACTTGATACATTTATTACGTATTTATTTGTGCGACTTGCTACCCATTTATTTTCTAAAATGTGCACCCCTGTGGGTGTTTTTGTTGCTGTATTGTGTTCGCTGTTGTAACTTTGCTCGCCCGTCAATACCTGGACATCTGTGGAAAAAAAAGAGCTTAACAGCTCATCGGATTACTTCTGCAGCCTAAATAAAGATTCTGATTCCGATTTAAAGCTTTCGTGACTGCAGGGATTCATCTTCTTGGTTCTTTCGGTAAAGTCACGTAGAAGGGAAGTAATTAAGTAATAAAAATAAAACATAATAAAATAATTATATTTAAAGCTTTCGTGACTGCAGGGATTCATCTTCTTGGTTCTTTCGGTAAATCTTCTTGGTTCTTTCGTTAAAGTCACGTAGAAGGGAAGTAATAAAATAATAAAAATAAAACATAATAAAAAAATTCTCACGACGTTTCAGCCACAACGCAAACAGCCGTCTTCAGGTGAAGAATGAGACACTGCCAAGCTTGGAGCTTATATATAAGCTGGGTTGGAGGTGGAAAAAGAGCGCCTTACGTCACGTAAAAGGGAAGTAATAAAGTAATAAAAATGAAACATAATAAAATAATATAATAAAATAATAATATGTTTTATTATTTTTCGATTTAAAGCTTTCGTGACTTTACCGAAAGAACCAAGAAGATGTTTTATTATGTTTTATTTTTATTATTTTATTACTCCCCTTCTACGTGACTTTACCGAAAGAACCAAGAAGATTCTGATTCCTGCTGCCCTCCATCCAGTATTGGCTTCTTCTTCCTCCTCCTTCCTCCCTCGCCACCCGCTCCTGGCTGCGACATTGCCCGCTCACAATTTCTTCACCACTGCTCCTGAGTTGTGGTGGTTGATTGTGAAAGTTATTGCTGTTGCTTAGAGGACGTGAGGTGGTGAGTTTGGTCGTCGGTTTTTGTGTGGTCGTTATTGATGATAATTTGAGGCTGTGATTGTTGTTGCGCTGTTGGTTGTGGTTGTTGTTGTTTCAAGACTGGATGGTGTTCATACCTGTCAACCCCTTACCAGTGCCTACATTATTACAGGCCAATTTAGACCTTATTGGTCACCCCGTGCCTCTTATAAATCTCAACTTTCATCCTACAAACTCCCATCACAAGAGAAAAACAAACAAATAGACATTTGTATTTGCCCGTATCGAAACGGCTGTACACCGTATGGACCTGAAAACTCAATTTCCCCGGACAATAATTACGGGGTAACCCGTGTGGGTTGACACGGTATGGGTGTTTGTTTTCGTGGTTGTTGATTTAAAGCCGCGTGGTGGTTAGGGATGAGGATGTAAGGCCGCAGCCGCTGGTTTGTGGTTGCTGATGATAAGAGGGTTGTACTGGTAGGAACCTCCTGGTTACACCAGCTCACAGGGGATTATTGTGTCCGTCCGTCCGTCGTGCAGGGAGAAGCTGGGTGAGGAGGGGAGGGTGGGGAGGGGCTGGGTGGGGAGGGTGGGGAGGGGCTGGGTGGGGCTGGGTAGGGGGTGGGAGGGGTGGGGCTGGGAGGGGCTGGGAGGGGCTGGTCACCCCGTGGTGTCCTTATAAAACTCAACGTTTCACCTACTCACGCCGGCTTGTGCCCGCCCTCACAGTCGGGCATATTTGCGGAATACACCACGCCGCCGTTGACCCTGCAGGCCATTGACCGAGCAACCCAACGTTCCTACCAGCTCCCTCCGCAAAAATGTGTTATGGTGGTGGTTGATTTGACGCTGTGGTGGTGGTGGTAGTGGCGGTTGATTTGAGGTGGTGGAGGAGGAATACAATTGAGGCGTTTAGTTGTTTTGGTTCGTGACACAGATGATACCGTTTAGCCAATTCCCCGACTATTTTACAAAGTAAGATAAAATTTAAAAAGTATGACAATAAAACAGGTGTTAAGGGGCCGTCCATAAATGACGTCACGCGATTTTGGACGATTTTTTACCCCCCCCCCCCCCCTTCGTCACACGACGTCACAAAAAGTCAGCCCCCCCTCAAATATGACGTCACAAAGCTCTGCCCCCCCCAAAAAATAAAAAATGCTTCAAATCGCTTGAAACTATTGCCATTGTAGTGCGTATTTAATGTGGCGCTGCACTCTGATGTTGTAGGGGAAAACATTTATTAAAAAGTCTATTTAATTAAGTAGAACGTGTTGTCTATATTTATTTAAAGTTGCGCATTTTGATGTGACGTCACAGTTCTCCCCCCCCCACCCCAGGTGCGTGACGTCATTTATGGACGGCCCCTAAGCTCTGTGTTTTGGCCTAAAAGATGAGCGGCAATAGCATCAGGGGAGTTTTCAGGGTGCAGAAGTGGTCAAAGCCAACCCCCAAACTGCACTTTATTAATTTATTTTCAGTAGTTTACAATTAAGATTTTAAATGTATTCATTATATGCACCGGCGATTCCTAATGTGAGGGACAAAACGAACCCCTGCCACCCGCCCCAAATTTATAAGTCAAACTCCACCTATGGGCCATAGTATTCTGGAAAACGTGTAGCAGCAACGTGGAAATATTGTTTACGAAACATCTTTTTTGTCAACGTGACACTTTTTTACTGATTGGCCGTGTCGGGTGGTGGAGGGTTACGACACATTTATGAATAACGCGATCTAAACCCAAAAACGTTGATTATGAATATTATTGGTCGCGAAAGCCTACGTGTTAAACTTAATTTATTTTATTTTATACCTACGTGACTTTACCGAAAGAACCAAAGAGTATGGATCCCCTGCAGTCACGAAAAACTTCAAATCTAGATTATTTTATGCACGGTCAAAATATGTGCTAAATTATCGATACAAACTCAATCGTTGTTGGTTAAGGGTTTGCTGAAAGCCAAAAGGCTGATTGACTCAAATATTTATTGGACATCTGAAATCAGAGACTGAGTGAGCTGTTATTGAGAGCGAACAAAAACGCGGTCTTTCCCCATTGGCACCGACAGACGGTAACACCGTCGGGATTTGCCGCTAGTCGCCACTAGAGGCCGCTGTTTAGCAAATCAAATCACGCGCACATTTTCCCACGAAACTCCTGGGCTCCACCACAAACACTGAAGAGCATCAGCATCAGAGGTCGCAACCGGGTACCCGATACCCGTACCCTACCCGATACCGACCCTGGTGCGGCCGGGTACGGGTAGGTCGTGAGTCACTGGTGAGTCACCGTTTGTCACTCATTTCGGGTAGGGTACGGGTACGTGTAGAGAACGGGTACCCATTTGCGACTCTGTTGCGGCCGGGTACGGGTAAGGAATCAAAACCCGTTTGCGACCTCTGATCAGCATCTAATCCCATCGAGCGTACGAAATAAGAAGACGAAGATTATCATCCTCGTCGACGCCAATACCGCATGGCATCCCACAGCAAGACCGTAATTATAATGTACATTTATCCCCCCCAATATTCAAATATACTCAAAATGTCACCCCCCCCCTCCAATATATTGCTATAAAATAGATTTATGTTTATATGATTGTGGTTAAACAAGAAAAGGTAAAAAAGAAAAAACAGAGCAATGTAATACAATACACTATTAGACATTATTGTAAAATTTAATAAAAAGTCCATCCTATGTGTTGGTGAATTTTTTTTATATTTTAGGCAGGAAATTCGTTTTCAAATTTAGATTATTTTTTTTCTAGGGGGGGACCCCCAGACCGCCTGGAATATTTGCGTTGTGGCCGAAACGTCGTGAGAATGATGTATTATTTTTATTATTTTATTATTTCCCTTCTACGTGACTTTACCAAAAGAACCACGAAAATGAATCCCTGCAGTCACGAAAGCTTTAAATCGAAACTTACCTTTTCTTGTTTCATTGTATGTAATGGCAGAGATTAGGGATTAATAAAGTACAACCATAACCACAATCATATAAACAGAAATACATTTTACAGCAATATATTGCGGGGGGGGGGGGCATTTTGAGCATATTTGAATATTATAATTACGGCCTTGCCCTACAACGAATAGACAACGGTAGATCTCACCCCAGCAGCCGCACTGACCAGCGTGGTGAAGTATGGTCAAACAACCCCAGTGACCGACGCGCCGTGGACGGGAGGAGGCATTCATTCAGCAGTGGATCGAACAAATGGCTGTAAAATGTCATGTGTGTCCAACTGCACCTTGTGTTGAGATAGTACAACAGGTACAGATGTATCGTGGGACCATTATTGTCAGTATGAAAGGGGCCGTCCATAAATGACGTCACGCTATTTTGGACGATTTTGACCCCCCCCCCCCATCGTCACAAAAAGTCAGACCCCCCCTCAAATATGACGTCACAAAGCTCTGCCCCCCCCCCCCAAATAAAACATGCTTCAAATCGCTTTAAACTATTGTCATTGTAGTGCGTATTTAATGTGGCGCTGCACTCTGATGTTGTAGGAGAAAACATGTATTACAAAGTCTATTTAATTAAGTAGAACGTGTTGTCTATATTTATTTAAAGTTGCGCATTTTGATGTGACGTAACATTTCTCAAACTCCCACCTCCCCCCTCTCGTCACACATCGTCACAAATGTCTGACCCCCACCCCCCCCTAGGTGCGTGACGTCATTTATGGACGGCCCCATAGCATAAACAAATAACAATAGTGTTTTACCCTTTCTGACAATAAAACAGATGCTCAAATAGCAAGGAATGAAGTCTGCATTAACCACACGTACATGTGATGAAAATGCAAACAAAGCATGCATATTTAATGATCAAAGCCTTGTTTTGTTTGCATGGTCACCACATGTACGCGTGGTTAACGCAGACTTGATAACTTGCAAAATGTTGAGCTATACTTGCATACCAAAGGTAGTTACATAATGTACAGTATCTTCTTGGTTCTTTCGGTAAAGTCACGTAGAATGGAAATAAGAAAAAAATAAAATAAAACATAATAAAAATGTTATTTTTATTATTTCGGTAAAGTCACGTAGAATGGAAATAATAAAATAATAAAATAAAACATAATAAAAAAAATATTTTTATTTTTTTAGTATTTCCATTCTACGTGACTTTACCGAAAAAGTCACGTAGAATGGAAATAATAAAATAATAAAATAAAGCGTTTTATTTTTATTATTTTATTATTTCCATTCTACGTGACTTTACCGAAAGAACCAAGAAGATGAATCCCTGCAGTCACGAAAGCTTTAAATATAATTATTTTATTATGTTTAATTTTATTATTTTATTATTTCCCTTCTACGTGACTTTACCGAAAGAACCAAGAAGATGAATCCCTGCAGTCACGAAAGCTTTAAATCGAAATGCACAGTATGTTCTGTATGAATGTTGAAGTTCTTCTGTATGTTCAACGATCTTTCATCCCAATAGCCTGCACAGAATGTTGGGGTAAGCGGGTGGCCGTATCGTTGTGCGAGGGTGATGTGGCCAGCACCACGACCGACCGCCTTTGTCTCTCCCCAGTGATGATGTTTACACACCACACCTAGGCCGTAAGGTGAACTAAGAAAAAGTGGCTAGAAAATGATTTTCGTTCCCACACCTGGGAACTACTTTTTAAATTATTTTTTTCATAGACAAAACCATTTTCGACTTTATGTTAAAAGTTCTCCGCAAAATACCCTGCAGTTTTTTTTTTCAAAATCCATAAATGTGTATAATTGTGAATTGGAAAAAACGAAAATCTTATGCTGCTGGTTTTGTTTGTAACTTTATTTATATACATTTTAGCAACACCAAATATCTCTCAAACTGACACTTATACATGTACCTATTATATACTCAAGTGTGAATGTAGACCATGAAATAGGGCGATGTTTGTACACCGCACCAGGTACTCGTTTGAGGCCGAGTCGACTTAGGGGGAGTTCCACACACAGTACACACACGCAGTATACACACACAGTACACACACAGTATACACACACACAGTACACACACAGTATACACACACAGTATACACACAGTACACACATACAGTACACACACAGTACACACAATACACATCACACACAGTACACACACAGTACACAAGTACACACACACAGTACACACACAGTACACACACAGTACACACACACAGTACACACACAGTACACACACAGTACACACAGTACACACACACACACATAGTACACACACACAGTACACACACAGTACACACACACACAGTACACACACAGTACACACACACAGTACACACAAAGTACACACACACAGTACACACACACAGTACACACAGCACATACACACACAGTACACACAATACACATCACACACAGTACACACACAGTACACAAGTACACACACACAGTACACACACAGTACACACACGCAGTATACACACACAGTACACACACAGTACACACACAGTACACACACAGTATACACACACAGTACACACATACAGTACACACACAGTACACACACAGTACACACACAGTACACAAGTACACACACACAGTACACACACAGTACACACACACAGTACACACACAGTACACACACAGTACACACAGTACACACACACACATAGTACACACACACAGTACACACACAGTACACACACACACAGTACACACACAGTACACACACACAGTACACACACAGTACACACACACAGTACACACACACAGTACACACAGCACACACACACACAGTACACACACAGTACACACACACAGTACACACACACAGTACACACAGCACACACAGTACACACACAGCACACACACTACACACCCACACTACACACACACACAGTACACACACGTGAGTCAAGTGTTGCCACTCTTGCTGCTGCTGCTGTTATTCATTGTTCCTGGCGCCAGTGGAGGGAGGAGGGGGCGGTTCCCGGCATCATCGCCGCGCCCTCCTCCTCCCTCCCTCCTCCCCCCTCCTCCCTCCCCCATCCCTCCCCCTCCTCCCCTCCCTCCCTCCCTCCTCTTCCTCCTCCTCCCCAAGGGCTCGGGGAGGCCGTGCCGAGCCCAGCCACACGGCGGCAGCAGCAGCAGGCAGACACCGCAGTCAGAGACAGCAGATACAACAACAGCAGTCACACCAGAAGACACAGCAGCAGGCAGACACCGCAGTCAGGCACATCAACAGTCAGACACAGCAGCAGTCAGACACAGAAGCAGTCAAGACACAGCAGCAGTCAGACACAGAAGCAGTCAAGACAGCAGCAGGCAGACACCGCAGTCAGGCACATCAACAGTCAGACAGAAACAGAAGCAGTCAAGACAGCAGCAGTCACACAGACAGATACAACAGCAGCAGGCAGATACAACATCAGAAGACACAGCAACAGTCAGACACCGCAGAAGCAGTCAAGACACATCAGTAGGAGTCAGACACAGCAGCAGGCAGACACATCAGTAGGAGTCAGACACAGCAGCAGGCAGACACAACAGCAGCAAGCAGACACAACAACAGCAGGCAGACAGAAGCAGTCACACCAGTAGACACAACACCAGTAGACACACGGTCCCCTCGCTCATCCAGACGAGTCGGTGCGCGACAACTCAAAACAGCTCCTCATCCTCCATCACCACCAACAACAACAACTCATCCTCCACCACCACCACCACCAACAACAACAACAACTCATTGTCCACCACCACCACCGTGACCACCACCACCGTGACCACCATGGTGGTGCAGGCTCTGGCCTCTCGCCTGCTGGGGTTGACTGCCCTGAGGGCGCTCGGCCCCAGGGCCCCAGGGGCCCCAAGGGCCCCAGGGACCCCGTGCCGCCGGGCGACCCCTTCGCGTGCGTGCAGCCTCCTGTGTCCGGGCAGGATCTTCACTAAAGGTGAGGGCGGTGCGGGTAGGGGGGTGTGGGTAGGGGTAGTAGGGGTGGTGTGGGTAGGGGGGTGTGGGTAGGGTGGTGTGGGTAGGGGGGTGTGGGTAGGGTGGTGTGGGTAGGGGGGTGTGGGTAGGGTGGTGTGGGTAGGGTGGTGTGGGTAGGGGTAGTAGGGGTGGTGTGGGTAGGGGGGTGTGGGTAGGGTGGTGTGGGTAGGGTGGTGTGGGTAGGGGTAGTAGGGGTGGTGTGGGTAGGGGGGTGTGGGTAGGGTGGTGTGGGTAGTAGGGGTGGTGTGGGTAGGGGGGGTGGGTAGGGGGGTGTGGGTAGGGCGGTGTGGGTAGGGCGGTGTGGGTAGGGGGGTGTGGGTAGGGCGGTGTGGGTAGGGGGGTGTGGGGAGGGGGGGGTGGGGAGGGGGGTGGGGGTAGGGGGGTGTGGGTAGGGTGGTGTGGTAGGGTGGTGTGGGTAGGGTGGTGTGGGTAGGGGCGGTGTGGGTAGGGGGGTGTGGGTAGGGGCGGTGTGGGTAGGGGCGGTGTGGGTAGGGGGTGTGGGTAGTAGGGTGGTGTGGGTAGTAGGGGGGTGTGGGTAGGGGGGGTGTGGGTAGGGGGGGTGTGGGTAGGGGGGGTGTGGGTAGGGGGGTGTGGGTAGGGGCGGTGTGGGTAGGGGCGGTGTGGGTAAGGGGGTGTGGGTAGGGTGGTGGATAACGAGGGGATGGACGAGTGAATGACGAGAGAGAGAGGGGAAGGTGGAGTGAGGAGGAAGGCTGCCTTCGATAGACACGTGGACAAACGCGAGTTGTCGGTGGTCTGTGGCCACGTGGCCCAAAGTCGGGCACGATGGCAGCTGCCCGACAGTGTTGGACCCCGTGTCGGTGTCTCTGTGTGTGGGGTACGTGGACCCCGTGTCTGTGTCTGTGTGTGGGGTACGTGGACCTCGTGTCTGTGTCTGTGTGTGGGGTACGTGGACCTCGTGTCTGTGTCTGTGTGTGGGGTACGTGGACCCCGTGTCTGTGTGTGTGTGTGGGGTACGTGGACCCCGTGTCTGTGTCTGTGTGTGGGGTACGTGGAGCCCGTGTCTGAGTGTGGGGTACGTGGACCCCGTGTGTGTGTGGGGGGTACGTGGACCTCGTGTCTGTGTGTGGGGTACGTGGACCCCGTGTCTGTGTGTGGGGTACGTGGACCTCGTGTCTGTGTGTGGGGTACGTGGACCCCGTGTCTGTGTGGGGTACGTGGACCCCGTGTCTGTGTGGGGTACGTGGACCCCGTGTCTGTGTGTGGGGTACGTGGACCCCGTGTCTGTGTGTGGGGTACGTGGACCCCGTGTCTCCGTGTGGGGTACGTGGACCTCGTGTGTGTGTGTGGGGTACGTGGACCCCGTGTCTGTGTGTGGGGTACGTGGACCCCGTGTCTGTGTGTGGGGTACGTGGACCCCGTGTCTGTGTGTGGGGTACGTGGACCTCGTGTGTGTGTGTGGGGTACGTGGACCCCGTGTCTGTGTGTGTGGTACGTGGACCTCGTGTCTGTGTGGGGTACGTGGACCTCGTGTCTGTGTGTGGGGTACGTGGACCCCGTGTCTGTGTGTGTGGGGTACGTGGACCCCGTGTCTCCGTGTGGGGTACGTGGACCCCGTGTCTGTGTGTGGGGTACGTGGACCCCGTGTCTGTGTGGGGTACGTGGACCCTGTGTCTCTGTGGGGTACGTGGACCCCGTGTCCGTGTGGGGTACGTGGACCCCGTGTCTGTGTCTGTGTGTGGGGTACGTGGACCCCGTGTCCGTGTGGGGTACGTGGACCCCGTGTCTGTGTCTGTGTGTGTGGGGTACGTGGACCCCGTGTGTGTGTGGGGGGTACGTGGACCCCGTGTCTGTGTGGCCCCCTTGTATCTGTGGGTGACTTTGCGTCTGTTGTGGGGTAACTGTCACGGTGGCTATGAGATGTTAACTACCTCGCCTGGTGTACAGGAGGTCGTGGGTTCAATCTTGACACTGACACCTGTTGTATATTTGGAGTTTGTGTGTCTCTCTCTCATCATCACGGTGGCTAGGAGATGTTAACTACCTCGCCTGGTGTGCAGGAGGTCGTGGGCTCTATCCAGACCCTGACGCCTGCTGTGTATTTGGAGTTTGAGTGTCTCTCTCATCATCATCATCACGGTGGCTATGAGATGTTAACTATCTCGCCTGGTGTACAGGAGGTCGTGGGTTCGATCTCGACCCTGACGCCTGCTGCTGTATATTTGGAGTTTGTGTGTCTCTCTCTTTCCCCGTGGTCGCGTGGATTTCCCTCCGGGTCCTCCGGTTTTTCCCCACCACATTTATAATCAACAACACGCGTTTAAAGCATTTGGCTGCTATAACATTTCCCACGTGATACGCCACTTCGTTGAGCTATCAATTGTGGGCTATATAGCTGAGTGGATCCTTAAACTGGGAAAAAAAATAGTTTCGTTTATAGTCTGTGTTGGGGAACCTGTGTGGAGTGGACCCTTTGAAGGGGGGGTACCCTGTGTGTATTGGGGACTTTGTGTCTGTGGGGGGGCCCTTTGTCGGGTTCCCTGTGTCTGTGGCAAAGGCCAACACAGGGAGGAGGGGTCGGCATGCGGCTCTTTGGCTGCCTGCCCCCTTGGCGTTTTGTGAACAACAACAAACACAAGTTACATAATTTGGCTCTTTACACTCTGAAACTTGCAGGGGTGGGGAAGGTCTGGCCCGCGGGCCGTATAGGGCCCACGAAATCACTTGGTGTGGCCCTGCCAAGGCAACCGCAGGCGGGATTCGAAATTCAATAAATCCAGGAGCAAACCTGGAAAAGCAGTTGCGAGTAGCAGCAACATCATCAACGCCAGCTAACATCATCACACGCCTCACCAAAGAGAAGCAGTTCCAGCCATCACATTAGGGGGTGAGTGAATTAAATGTTTAATTACACCCAAGCCGAAACATAACATATAAAAAATAATGTCTTAAAATAGTTGTTTTTTATTTCTTATGATAGAATATAGTATTGTCATCAGTGTGACATAAGTATACCAAGTTTACAGTCGATACCACATTGGGAAGTGCGTTAAAATTGACTTACAAGATTTGAGGATATGACAACAACAGCCAGAGTGAGTTCATAGAAAGCGTGTAAAAAGATAGTTTAACAAAAAAAATGTTTATTTTTTATGATAGAATATAGTATTGTCATCAGTAAGATATAAGTATACCAAGTTTGCGGTCGATACCACATTGGAAAATGGGTTAAAATTGAGTTACAAGATTTCAGGATACGACAACAACAGAATGAGTTCATAGCGTGTAAAAAGATAGTTTAACATTTTATTTTTATGATAGAATATGGTTTTGTCATCAGTAAGACATAAGTATCCGAAGTTTGCAGTCGATACCACATTGGGAAGTGCGTTAAAATTGAGTTAGAAGATTTGAGGATACGACAACAACAGACAGAGTGAGTTAAATAAAAGCGTGTAATAATAAAAAGATTCCCCACCTCTGCAAGTCTAAAGCAAGGGGATCGGGGGCGACATTTCGACAACCTGCAACTCTTTTATGGCTCCTTGGTGACCACATTTGTTAAGGACCGTCACGTTCGTCTCGCATTCATCACATTGCATTGCGGCTCTCGAAATATTGAGGGTTTTTTTTTACCAAATTCCCCCCAAAAAATACTTTCTTGTACTTTTGCTTGGCCACGCCTGGGGCAAACAACTCTGATGAAGGCAGCAATTAAGAAGAGCGCTCTTATCAGCTCGCCACCCTGGCCGTCGAGTTAGATTCCTGGCCAGGGTGCGGTGTTGCAGTTCCACAGATCCTCATCAAGCTGCGTGGGCCAATGTCATTTAAAAAAAATTATAATTATATTACAGTACATCCATCCACTTCATATGCTGCATCTCAAGCAGAGGTCGCAAACGGGTTTTGATTCCTTACCCGTACCCGTACCCGGCCGCACCAAGGTCGCAAACGGGTACCCAGCCGTACCCGTACCCAGCCGTACCCGTACCCTACCCGTACCCGGCCGGGTACGGGTAGGGTGCGGGTATCGGGTGCCTGATTGCGACCTCTGGGATGAAGCCATGTTGCAGGCGCGGGTGGGTTGATTCTAGGAACTTGAATTGTGAGAAGAGACAAGACGTTGGGAAATTAGTGACAAACGGTGACTCACCAGTGACTCACGGTCTACCCGTACCTGGCCGCACCAGGGTCGCAAACGGGTAGCCGGGTATCGGGTAGGGTACGGGTATCGGGTACCCGGTTGCGACCTCTGATCTCAAGGCCGTAATTAGAATATATATTGGGGGGGACCCATCTCCCCCCGCCCCCAATATATTGCTATAAAATAGATTTCTGTTTATATGATTGTGGTTATGGTTGTACTTTATTAATCCCTAATCTCTGCCATTACATACAATGAAACAAGAAAAGGTAAAAAAAGAAAAAACAGAGCAATGTTATACAATACACTATTAGACATTATTGTAAAAAAAAGTCCATCCTATGTGTTCATGATTTGAAAAAATATTTTAGGCAGGAAATTGGTTTTCAAATTTAGATTTTTTTTTCTGGGGGAGGACCCCCACACCTCCTGGAAGATTTGGTCCCCCCCCAATGTTGACTCCATGGCTACGGCCTTGCTGCATCTCCGCAAAATAAAAGTCGGTGCTTATCAGCGGCCCATGACTCCAAAAACGCTCCACTGCGGCGCATAGTTTGTATTTTAATGACAACGTAGGGTCATCTTCTTGGTTCCATTCGGTAAAGTCACGTAGGATGGAAATAATAAGATCATAAAAATAAAACATAATAAAATAATTCTCACGACGTTTCGGCCTCAGGTGGAGAACAGGACGTAAAATAATCCCGCACAGCTCATAACGGCTCAACGCAAGGGCCGGCACGGTGCAAGACCACACGCATAAACTATTAACAGTGATGAACTGATCTGGCTGCTGCTTGGTGAACATTATCCATTAAGTAACAGGTTAATACAAAAAATTACAGCTTTTTAAATAT